TAAAATTAGCCAAAAACTTAAACTTAGTTTGGGTTTGATTTTGTATGTGATTTCAATGTGATCAGAAATAGGGTCCAATTTTTGCTTGCAAACTTTTTTTTTTTTTTTCCTTAAGAAGAGGGACCTAGCTCTGATCGCCATTGAAATCGATGAGTTTTATTCAAAATCTGCGATAAATTAAGATCGCCTTTTTGGGCCTACTTTTAAATCTAACATTGACATGTTCCTCTTTCTTTTCATATACTATGTTTATTTTATATTTTATCTGTATGCTTCTGAACATTAACAATAGAACTCTGTCCGCAGTTCTTAGGCAAATCTCAAAAGGACGATCCCTAAATATTTTTAAATACTTTTCATATTAATATTATCTATCTACATATTAGTAGCAGGTAGTTATGAAATAATGAAAGGCATACAGTTCTAAATTATGCCTCTTTTCACTATTTCATAACTATCTGCAGCTAGAAAATTGTTTGGTTGCTTACTGATAAATATTATTGCACTGCAGAAAACATCTTATTTAATAAATGATGGAAAATGAAAAGAAGGAATAAGAAATGTACAAATTTAATATGTTAGAAAAGAATTAATTTAATAATTGCAAATGTTGTTTCTACTCCTGTACTTTTATAACGATACGTGCTTCTTTTGAGACTTCGAAACTTTAACAATGCCTAAAATAGGAGTTTAAAGTAATACTATTAAAATAAATAAATTTAACTTCAGAAGTTTGTTGTCCATTTTTTTCCCGGAAGTACAACGGCTATTTTCTTAATAAATGAATATTTGTGATGGTACGGGAGAAAAGCTTTCACTACGGTCTAATTTGATCATTAATTTGCAGCACTCTCCACAGCACAAACTGCACAACTGCAAACGAATAGAATAAAAGGGTCAACGTTCAATCGCTGGACAAGCTTACAATACTCATTCTTTAAGAATCACGGATAGATGGAATCGGCAACACTTCCTTTATTAAAGGCATAATAAAAGTTTCTGGGAAAAAATATTAAAAATAAAATTAATTTTTCAATCACAATGTTGCAATGATAAATAAAATAATCATATTTTGAAATATGTGTTTATTTATACAAAATAAAGGTTATACATGCATATCATAGTTAAAAATTAAAATTATTTTCATAAAGTAACACAAAATCAATTTAAATCAAATTCAAATAATTCTTTATAACGCATAAGCTGAATGCAAAGTCTTAATTGTAACAGATAATCGAATCACTCGTTCTTAAGGAATTAACAAAATGTACATTTGTAAGTTTGTTTTGATTTCAAATGCATCATATTTGAAAACGGATATTTACGGTTACAAGTAATTGAGCAAAACGACTATATGTTTAACGTATATCTTCTCGAAATATGATAGCTAGTTTTATTGATTAAGTTCCGAAATATATTATCATTGCAATGTACCTTATACAAAATATTTCTACAAGGTTATTTTTTTAATGCTCAACTTTCAGTACTAATAAGATAAAAATATTTAGAAAATACAGCAGGCAACACTTTCAGCAGTACAGAAAGAATAGATAAAAATATTTACTAGGCTCTAATGCCTGATCGACAAATCTGAAAGGAAAAGCTCTTAATAATGTGTTTATAATTTCTTATACAGTGACAGCAAAAGTTCCAATTTTTTAAGCCCGGTAATATGCTTTCTATTAGTGTTGTGGTAGTATTAGGTTTTATATTAGGAAGTGTGATAATGAATTTTTCATTAAATGAGACTTCAATAATGCTAACAAATCTGAATACTGTTACGAATTTTCTATAATGTAACATGAACGGCCTCAAGAAATACGATGATTTGCCGGAAACGTAAGATTACAAGGGCAAGTTTATTTAACATTGAAATCAATGGCTATCTCGCTAAACTGAAGATGGTTTTCGAGACTAATTTTAATCTCCAAAGTTAGTGAGAAAGGGCCAAAAGTCACCGAACGTAGTGATATTTTGGTCTGGTGTTTGTATAACTGTCTTGTTCTTGTTTATAATGTCAGATCATGTCACTTCATGTCAGGTCATAAGTTCATTGACCTTCATAACTTCCAACACAAAATTAGGTCTCTTCAGCAAATCGTAACGTATCAAGGCAACGCAACTAAGTAGCTATATGGGTTTTACATTTGGCGCAAGCTGGAAAAGGTTTAGTACCACAGCAATATTTGAGGGTCCTTAAATGTCCTTTAGTAAACCGAGCCAGAGTTCTTCCTGTCACCTTTGAATCCAGTAGCAGTGCCAGAACCTGTAGTACGATATTATGAGTGTGTGTTAGTAGGTGTCTCCAAGAATTTCGAGAAGCCTTTCTTCTCGAGAATAGTTCAAGGTAGGTCAAAGGTTCAGCATAAACCTGAGGTACGGAAGTACCCTCCCTTGTTAGCCTATCATCTATATTATTATATTTTAGATTTACATGGTATGGTATCAATTGTAGATGGAGGACAGGAGAATGGGGCAAGGTCTTTAGTTTTTCGACAACTTTAATTCATTTCAGGTGTTTAATATTTCTCCAGTTATCTAAGTATTGGATTACCTTTCGGCTATCCATAAAAACCCAGTTTCTCCGGATAAATGTCACTCTAAAACACTGTCCAAAGCCATATCAATAGCAATCAATTCAAAGCAGAAAAAGGAACATAAATTTTTATTTCTACGCTTGAGAGATATCCATGCCAATTTTAACAAAAGCTCCACTACAAGTGTGTCCATGCTCATTCTTACTGCCGTGTGCTTGTATCAGAGCTGCCTCAACAGGAATTCTATTAATAACTGCAATCAGCCTAAATGCCTGTGTCATATTATTTGTCCCTATATGTAACTGTAACTATATATGCCTTTCAGTAATTTCGAGAAATGGAAGGTACTGGAAATTTCTTGGCGGCTGGGGCAAAACTATGCAAGACCTGAGAGAGCACCATTTCTCAGTTTTGAGTTCAGAGTAGACTTCGGAGTATTGCGATATCTCTGTACCATCTTCGCTCTTAGATGCACTTTACATTGCGTTGCGTTTAACTTTATTAGTACTTTGAAGTGGTAACTACTGATTGCGCTGTGCCATACTGAAAAGAGCCGTACGAAAGTGTACATACGTGTTTTTGTGAAAAGTTCCAAGACTGCAAAGTTTTTCTTTTGGAGGAAAAGTACATTTTATTAAGCTATCATCGGTTCTGTGGGCAATTCAATTCACTAGGAACCCATACGCAAGCAACAATACATTTTTTACACTTATATTAGCTGTATGACAAATTTTTGCAATTTTAGATTTAATTCTGTAAACTTTGACGTTATATTAAATAAAATTCTGAGGTTAATTAGTCCTATGGCTTCAAATTCAAACTGCATACGGGCCGAATGCCCGATATGAAAGCAGCTGACGAGTCGAATTAAAAAAAATATTTGTTAACTAAAATAACCAGTTTCATTTTAATAAAACAAATATTTTATACTAAATTTTTAATTGCATTTACTTAATATTTATAAATAGTAATAATAATGACGAAAAGGAAAAATTACAGTTTTGAAAAGGTTGGTATTTGCAAGAAATTCCTGTTGGTTACACTTATAATTCAAATGTATTGTTGGCAAAATATTAAATTTTCAGACTAACATTTGTTTCAGATAATTCTAATATGTTGAATTAACCTCTAAATAACTTACTTAAAAATTTAAAAAAAATACAAAAACTTTCCATAGGAACAAAATTTGAGTATAAATCTATTGTCTTTTTTATTTATTAAATTTTCCTTTGACATATACAGAAAAAAATACATATATTTCAATGTAAACAACTTTAATTTTTTTTCTTTCTGACTATAACTTTCAGTTTTAGCATATAATAGTGTTTTTGGTTTTAATAATTTTTTAATCTTGGGTGAAAAATTACTGTAAATCTTTATCACGAATTGTAGATGTTCAGCGGTCAGCATTTTTTGTCACTAATTTTCAGTTGCGTAAAAAACTTTTTACATATAAATGCAGCTCCAAATAAAGTGGTTATTCTTAGTACAAAAAGTCATAATTGACGTTTTGAAAAATGCGAAAAAGTTATCAAATTTTTGTTTTCAAACCTTTAAATAAGGTTTACATTATAGCGTAAATTATTTAGCTCCATTTGTAGATGGTATTATTTATTTGTTTTTTATTCCAATGAAAATAATGTAAAATTGGACTCAAAAATCATTAAAATCTGAAACCTCTCTTGAAATTGTTACCATAATTAATAATAAATTAATTACATGATTAATGTCATTAACTTAAAGGAAATGTATTCGCAGGCCGCATAAATTTGCTTCAATGGCCGCGAGTTTGTCAGGGCACCAATTATGTTTTACAAGCCACACTAATTTGTTGAACCACTATTACTTATGGTGAAAGAATAACAAATCGCATCCTTACTCAGCCATCTTGACAGACTTCAATATATAATAAAAGGTCCATGAAATGAGTGATTATCAACCAAAAAATAATTGTGTCACAGAACATTTGGTTTTAGGAGAAATAAAAATTTTTGCTTCAAATAATTTTATTTGTAAATAAATTTTCTACATTAGTTACAAAATTTCTCGTTTTGGCATGGCTGTATATGATTCAGTAAAAGCACATTCTTTATTAAGATTATAACTGGGTGCTTGAAAATAAGTCATCACACAGAATTTTGCATAAAAAGATATGCTAATTATTTGTTAAAGCATAGTGAATAATATTTATTAATTATGATTTTTCTTCACAAAGACATTACGAAAGGTTTGATGATGTACTTACAGCAATTCTACCCATAGTGTTAAAATCATTTTTATACATAATTTTATAGTATGTTCTATTTTAAAATCATTTTATAATATGTTCTATTCTATTTAAAAATTTCTAATTGGATATATACTTTTCACATTTCACCTAAATCATAAACAAAGAATTAAATTTAGCAACTATACACAAAATTTGAAAAGTGAAATAAGACAAAATTCCGTACACTTACTTACCTATATCTCTCCAGTATTGTACTATGTACTTTGTAATTGGAGAATTTCCACTGTAAGGTGGTGCCCAAGTTACACTAGCACTTCGACTCCAGATTTCTCTAATTTTTACGTCTAATGGCGGAGCAGGAACCTCTGAAGGAAAAATAAATATTATAAATTAAAGTGTACAGCTCAGATTCTCAGAAAACTTTCGTCACTGTTATATTTTGATCTGCACGCAAATTCTTTCTGTTCGGATTTTTGTGCGTGAGAATATTAAAAACAACATTCTGAAATGATTAAATGATTAAATTTCTACAGAAATTCGGCCATTTTTTATTCAAAAGCCATATTTTACATTTTTACGTATTTTATTCATACTTTTATTTATAATAACAAAACAAAAGCATTTTCTTCCAATTTCAGTACAAGAAGTGTAGAAAGCGGTGAATACCGGAGTGATAAATGAACTTGTTTAACTAATAAAACTAGTTTTACGACTCTAAAGATTAAAAGAAAAATGTAATTAGCTTCAGCAATTAAAAACAGAATTATGTTTGGTACTTACGTATTATCACAACTACCTTAACGCCGTTTGGCGATTATTTTACAGAAATGAAAGTGATTTAGTGAATTTTCAGATTTCAACTTACGATATGGTTACCTAAAGAATTATTATGCGCATGGTTGCTAGAGTTTGGCAAATACGTTACTTTTGTTTTAATTTTTATGTACATTATGAATATACCATAATATAATATTTGTGAAAATCCACAATAAATATTAGAAAAAATGTCGGATGCATCCGTATGTATATATAAATTGCGCAGCTATTCAAAATGCCATACCAATTAGCATTATTTTCCGCTTTTTATTGCTTCAATAAATGGTTCAAATGTTATGAGCAAAACAAATAATTTGACAATAAATAAGCGGTGTAAGTTATTATTGTGGGATAACTTTTATCAAATTATCCCACAATAATAAACTATACCGCTTTTGTTAATAAAATTTTAGATGACTCATTAACTATTAGATAATATAAAGGAATATTCACTGCATGGAAATGAGATACATAAATGTTAAATTTTGACTTTTGAATTTCAAAGTTAAACGCATATTTTTCCTGTTATATCACTCCGTTTAGATTCGATTTAAGAACATCCCAACTAACTAAACATAGCTGCTTTACATTCACAAAAAAAAAAAAAAAAAAAAAAAAAAAAAAAAAAAAAAAAAATACACATCTTCCTCATAGCTTGTAAGTACCTGAAGTATTTCATTCTTTCCCCCAAGAAGTTAAGCTGCAGAAATAACATGCCGTTTTTAAGAGAAGCTTTTCCTGTTGGCATAAGCGGCGGATAAACAGACTCAACAACTGACAGTCTTACCCAGCATTTCAGGGAATTTCGCGCTTGAAACTAGTTTTACCTAACTTTAAGTACTTAATCTTCCAAAAATTAAACAGTTATGTATATATCCATGAAGTCAAACATAGGAAAAGATTTTGGATACAGGAGGGCAGATTGAAAAGGGGACTTGAAAAGAAAGTGGAGGGCCACAAATAAAATTTTAAGAAACAAATAGTTGTAATTATTAAGGAAAGTGACAAGATTATAAAAATTAATTAATTTCTCACAGCTAACAATTTCATAAGACGAATGATACTGTTTTACATCTTTCACCATTTCTTTTTTAAACTTTCAGGTGTTATTTTTGAAGTGGAGATTCTTGTAAATGATCACTCGTGATAATTAACCGCAAAACGTTTTTGCTGAGATTCATGACAGAAAATGTTTGTTCACATATGAAAATTGATTCAAAAATACGTAATTAACTTTTCTCGAACAAAATCTTTAAGTTTGTAAAATTTGATCGAATAAATAAATATTGCTGATTCCTTCAGAAGTGCACAGTTCTCTTAAATCAATATCACAATGCAGATATATTTTCTCTAGCAGATATAGCTCTCTTTGTGCACAATTAATTTCGATTGAATATAGATGCTACATGGATCTAGAATAAAACTAGAAACTGATTGCCCAGTGGAAAAATTCAAAGTACAATATATATTCAAATTTACTTTACCTAAAGATCTCTAAGAAGACAGAAAATTTAAACTATTGTAAAAAATATTACCATTACTCACGGGCTGCATAAAAATGCATGGCGGGTGCCACAACTTGTCTAGGCTGCATTAAATGATATCGGCGATATCACGTCAAATTCACGAATCTGTAAAACCGTTGCTTCGAATAAAACACAGCAAAAGTTTCTTATTTCAAACTTACTCTTTGTTTTGGAAAACATCATGCTATAATTTCTGTATATTAATCCTAATATATCCATATAATATACATATATCTATTTTCTAACATAGTGAAAATACCGTAGAATAGTACAGAAAATATTTATAAGAGAAAACAGCCAAAATATGCAGATTTGTTGTTGGCATAATAATAGCGATTTCTTAATGCATTTAAACGCGAATATATCAAAGTAAAAGTAGACGGGAGAATTCCATAATGATAATAGAGCAGAATTTGCATATAACATTGAGTACTCTTCCATTATCGGGACTGGATTCAGAAATGTATGTATGTAGTACGTATGTACGTGTATGTACACACGCACAAATATATATGCACCTACATACATACACACACACACGTGCATATATAACATATATTTCTTAATCCGGTCCCGATTACAGAAAAGTACCATAACATCGTAAAACAGGTATTACATATATAGCTAGTTATCAATAAGGCACTATAAATCAGTTTATCAATGAAGAATACCATTAGCAACATTATGTGTGTAATTACAAAAGAATACTGCGCAAACGCAAACATGTAGCACAAATTCTACTTCATAACAAATAATTATGTCATATCCTCTCTAATCAAATGTCACAGCTGGAATTAGAATGTACCAAATGAGGGACTTGCCTCAGGTGTACAGATAGAAGAAACACACCTGATTAGGTGAGAAAAGTTAAAAATTCATTAAAAAATGATTATTAACGGAGATTCTGAAGCACAACAAGAAGTATAGTTTCAAAGTAGAATTTCGAATTTGTTTTTTGTTTATTTCATATTTTGTGCTTAAAGAATTCTTTCTTGATTAACCAAAAAAAAAAAAAAAAAGCTACAAATTTTTTACTGATGCTTCAAATTTCATCCGAAAATTCAGCTATTTAAGAGAAATAAGTTACCATTTCGCAAAGCGTTAAGATATTCGCTTTCCCAATTTAATAAAACAGGTCAGAGATTTAAAAAATGTGTTGATATAGTTTGGTCTAAGATATTTGTATTTTTCACTCGCCAGTTTGTTTCCATTTGGTGAAGGGTAAAATGTTTAGTTTCCTTTCAAATTTATTCTGTCTATTATTAATTAACAAACGAAGCGATTTAAAAGCAATAAATGCAGTTTTGTAGATATTGTTATTAATTACTAGCTGGACACATGAAATTACATGAGCTAGACTCATTAAAATTATTATATTTTTTTATTATTTTTTATAATGGAAACTATTCTGGCCGACTGCAGTATCAGCAGATAATATTTAAAATAAAACTCTGTTAGCAAACTTTACAGTAATTTGTATTTTTGATACTGCTTTCTTTCTTAGCGCTTATATGGTCGATTGTATGAATTCCATCAAACACCTTTCGTACTCATTTCTTCGGTGAAAATGGCGTCCCTTAGTTTACGTTTGACATAAAATATCAACATAAGCAGCAAAATGTGTAGTAATTCTCTTAAGTTATTACCTACCAGCAGTAACGTTTCTTTAATACACAATCTTCATTGTATTAGTTTCCATTAACTCCGAGGAAAACGTTAAGAATAATTTTATTTTATAATTAACACAGCTGAGTTCAAAGAATAAATTGAATTAATTTATCATCAAAAGTTCTGTAGTTCCACAGGAGAATGTGTACTTTTTTCTAACATTAAACTTTATCGTTGAAACTAGGCTAATGAAGATACATGAACTTTCTCAGAAAACGTTTTGTTGCCGGATCAGTGATTCTTTACTACCTCCTACTAGACTGAATCGAACTCTAAATAGGTGTAAAGCATGACAATGTAAAATTTATAATGCAAAAAAGCTATCATGATTAGCGTAGATTTTAAATAAAACTATCGATTTCAAAGGACACCATAAAGCCCCTCTTTTTCTGCAACAAGATAATATTGCAAAAATGGGAGGAATGAAAAACATCTCATAAGGAAATCAATACGCTGAGCAAAGCGAAAACGAGTGTAGCGCCATCTGTTGAGTAAAATAATAATTAAACCTAGAAATAAGAATTTTGAAAGCATAAATTGAATTAACTAAAGAAAATAAATTTTTGTGAATGTGAAAGTTTTAAAAGAAATCCCATGCACAATTTGAAGTAGCTCTGTGGATAATTTTCGCCGAACAAAGTAAAAAACTGCTGTGAAGTGACCAAATATGATAAGTCATAGAAAATCATTTGATTTAATAAGTTTTGCGTTTCATGATATGAAATTTGATCGATTTTGTTTGCCTGAAGGTCGAAATGCAATATATCAAAACACACTGAAAATATATCTTCCCGAAAATTATAATCAGAGATGGTATCTTTAAGAAACTTACAATACAATGTTTTGAAAGGTTAATTTGAAAAGAATCTGCAGACATTTATATCTGACTGAATTATTGGTATTTAAATCTGAAGACGGAAAGATGGAATAGGATAACGACAAAGTTGTTATAATTATTTCTAATTGCAGAATGCCTTTCATGTAGGCAAAAGAAAAATTTTCTACTTTATCAATGATTGCGGAAGACCAATGATCGTGGACCCTATCTAGAAGCAGAATGGTAAATTTTCTGCTGGCAAGAAGAAAATTTATTAAAGCCTTCAACCTTCACATTCCCTACTGTTACTGATCCAAGAGTTTCTGAAAGGTTTAATCACTAAACTCTGGATTTAAAAAAAAAAAAAAAAAATTAGAAAAAAATACTTTGCTTTTTTTAATTTTGAAGAAATTCCTGAAGAAACTGAAGCTTCTGAAGAAAAACTCTTATACGGGTATTTAAAAATATTATCTATTAAAATTTATTTCTTAAAAATAACACTGTTAACGATGTTAATTTCAATCCCTATTTCCTCGCAAGCATTCAAACAAAACGCTCCTGTTCCAAATTTTAAACATTTCTGACTTCCTTTTCCACAAATAAATGGCTTTACATACACTGCTCGACATTGAAAATGCAACACCAAGAAGGAGTGGTCAGAAAGTGATGAAATTTGGAATAAAGACAGAGACAGCAAGCAGCAAAAAGTGATCTTTATTTCAAATTGATAGTCAGAATACAGAGCGAGAACGGCGTCGGATCAGTAGGATGTAAGACCACCGCGGACAACGATGCACGGAGAAACACGTCTAGGCATAGAGTCAATAACAGTCCAGATGATGCCTGAGGGATGGCTCTCTATTCCCTTTCAACCATTTGACACAGTTCGTTTTCTGAACGAGGCAGCGGCGGCAGAGTCTGCAAACGGCGTCCAATCACATCCCACACATGTTCGATTGGTGACAGGTCAGGAGAGTACGGTGGCCAGGGAAGCATCTGTATACCTTGCAGAGCATGTTGGCAGATGCGAGCACTGTGTGGTCGTGCGTTATCCTGCTGAAAAATTGCATTAGGCAGCCCCTGAAGGTAAGGGATTGCCACCGGCCACAGTACATTATCCAAGTATCAATGGGCCGTCATAATGCCCTGAATACGAACTAGAGGTGACCTGGAATCGTAGGCAATAGCACTCCAAACCAAACATGTTCGCCATAGCCGATGCACTGTGCTCGCATCCATGTGGGTATCAGCTGCGATATGACGTAAACACCTAGTCCGATCTTCTCAGTCCCATCACCTACCCCTCGTAAAATCGTATATCTGCTGGAAGTGCCTTCGTTGACGGCGGCCTGGCCATTCTCACCTATTACACGTATTCTCCGGGACAAAGACGAATTATCGAAGAAAGTTGGTTTAGCAGAAATAACAACATGAATATTGCTCATTCTGCATGTTACTTCCCTTATATCTTACTTCATGTGCGTCGGAGAGCTGCGCATTTCACATCATTCGCATAACTCAGTGACGTGCGCCTACTCTAAAATTTGCATAAATTTCTGACCACTCCTTCTTGGCGCTGCATTTTCAATGTCGAGCAGTGTATTTCATTTCTTTTTATCATACAAGGCATTGTTGTAGCGCCTTTTCAGATTTTCTCTTTCTCTGATTTCTTTTTCCATATTCTCCAAAATTAGTTGACTTTTTAAATGGTGGAGAAAGTACGGTTAAAAATTTCGAAATAATTTTTGCTGAAATTTCTTTTATTACAGCAACATCAGCTGCAATTCACTCATTTTCGCGAAACAGCGTGTGTTAAAAGTAGGATATTCTACATAAAATATAATTTAATATCCACAGTTAGACAACTTTAAAGCAAAAATTTGGAATAAGAAACAATATAAGTTATTACATTTCTGGGACAGTGTGGAATGGAAAGATTAACTGAAGATTAATTGAAAACACAGTTGGTTTAGTATCATGTTTTGAACTGAAGTTGGTAAAGAATGCGATATTTATAAAATATTGATCTGATAACATTGATAAAATGTGAAATAGTTATAACACCCACATCAACTGGGAAGAAAAGTAAGGTAACTCACCCATAACTAGCAGTCGTATCTTTCTTTCGTCATTTCCAAATTCGTTTTCAGCTATACACGAGTAAAGGGCTCCATCGTCTCGATCTGTAGTTCGAATGATAAGTTCGGACACTACACCCTTCGGAACTAGAGTCTCAAAGATTTCATACCTGATGACAAAAATAAAGCATTAAATTTAAATTTGAGACACATTTTATTTGATTAGAAGACTGACTTAAGCCGCAGGAGGTATCCTAAATCTATTTTATAACTGAGAGATTGTAACGTTGCAGGCCTTCTCGTGGTGCACCCTGGTTAAAGCTAAATCTGTCACAGCGTTGGCTCACTTCCTTGTTTGTTTGAGCAGTTGAATTGTTAGACTTAAGGACTCCTCAGTCTGTACTCTTTGGACAGTCCATGAATAAGGAGCATAATGACAAATGCATTGCACTATTATCTTTTAATTCGATTATTCTCAACTATGGGGAAGCAAGATCAAGACTATCAATTTGAAATAAAGATCTACTAATGCCACTAATGCCTTAGTGGCCAAATGTTTGGCATTTGTATAAATAATTTTACAACTTAAAATCAAGTTAAAATGGTAAAAAAAAGATTCAATCCTCCGAAATGTAATAGTTAAATATGTTTTTTGGTCAAGTTATTTCCGTCAGCGGGACTACCTGGCCGATATGCTAACTACCCAGTGGACCGGCTGCCTCACTGTCGGTGGAAAGAAACAAAGTTAAATATGTTTTAGTTAAAGCTGGCGTTTTGCATTTAGATGGTTATTAAAACGTTTTATTTTATTCCTCTTTTTCTCTTCTCATTTGTATTGCAGATACAAAACTGTAATGACTTTTAAAGGGATTTAATGCGAATTTTCAATAGATTTAAGAACAAAAAGAGAAATAAACGCAGTTTTTTGTCTTTTTTTTATTAATTACCAACTGTACCCGTGAAATTACACTAGCTAGATATTTATAGTTTAAAAATATTATTTAGTTTACATGCTGCATTACAAAATTATATATTCTATTCTTTTTTATAGTAATTATTTTGGACGGCTGGCTGCACCAGCTGTTAGTTATTAAAAAAGTGAAATGGGCAATAAAAATGATTCGATACAAAATTGAGGTTTGAGAATAACAGCCCTTATGGGCTAAAAAATGTACATAAATACTTAACTTTGTATCGGTAGCTATAAAGATATGCTATTTTTAAAAAAAAAAAAAACTGTGATTTTGTTGTTGAATTTTATGAGGCATAAGTGTGAAGAAAGTTATGTCTAATAATAAAGTTAAAAACCAAATAATTGTGTCGGCAAAAGTGAGCTCAAAAACAGAGAGATAAACTGCAAACTCAACGAGAGCCTAAGGCATCTTAAAAAACCTTCTGGTGTGACGTTAAAATTTAAATTCTTTTAGACATTCTATTTTGTTTGTTTTATTTTAAAACTAATTTGCGCCTAAGCATTGTAGTAAAGTTTGAATAAACAACAATCTGAGGTCAAGAAACAACTCAATTAATTTTATATTAATTCTTATGGGGAACATTGTTTCGGTTGACGAACGTCCTTGAAGAACGAATTGAATTCGTGAACCAAGGTTCCATTATGTCCAGAATTTATATAGACACTAAAGTAAGATACTCTTTTCACAGAAGAAGAAGTTTTTTTTCAACTTTCGAAAATCAACTCAGCAACATAATTGAAACTATTTTTATAAAATTATCTAATTTATCTGGACAAAATTCGAAATTGGAAGTACACTTCGGACCACTATTTAAGAAATTAAAACCTATAGCCAGCTTTCACGAATACCCTGCAACTACAGTGAAATATAATTTGTACCTTACATATACTATATATAGTTATATGCATATTACACAGAAGGATATTTGTTAACCTGTAGTTAGCCTGTCTTTAACTTTATGTTAATTAAATTGAATTGCAATTATTTTTCTCAAATTCTGATAAACAGAAGTATACTTCGTTTCAGCTGTCTCCGTCGTGTAAATGAGAATTAACAAGAGCAATGTTTTGATTGTAATAATGAAATGCGGAAATTTTTTATCGGAAATATTGCAGCAGATTGATTTTTTAAGCTATTCCCTTTCTATTGCTGTATAATTTTGAAATGCTTCAAGTAAATGTATCAAAAAAGTTTCGGGAAAAACCTGAATACAAAAATGTATCATGATTCAACGTCTGCATTGAAATATTAAGTGATGTATTTGTTTTCTCTTTAATTTCAAAGTTATGTTGAGAAAATATACAAGAAACATCTGTTTCATTATTTCGAAATGATTACATCATTAATATACATGCTATCTCAGCAAAACTGTATTTGTAAACGAGGCATGTAATAAATAGAACGTCTTTCTATGTGGTACGTCAGAAACATTTATATAATATAACTAGAAAACTATTCTTGCGTACATTTACAAAAGTTATCATTTAGATACATCATATAACACTCTACATAATATTTATAATGATTTTATTATTGATTTACGTTCATAAAAAACAAAAAAGGGGTTTCTTAAATACTTCCTTTCTTAATATGATAATCAATAAACTGTTTAAGTTTGAAAATTAAAAAGAATAAATAAAAGTTATTAAATATATTAGTTTTAAATCATCCTACACTGATAAGCAGTGTAATATTATAATTCGAAAGTTAAAGTTATTATGCCTAAAATATTAGCAACTCTCACTAAAAACTAACAGTTTAAAAGATATTGTAGATGATTCACGTAATGTTAACGTAATTCTAAAATCGAAATGCCCGACCATAAACATTTCTAATGAGAAGAATGTGTTTAATATTTTATCTAATTCAGTTTGGAATAATTAGCTGAATGAGGATTACAGGAGTATTCCGTTCATTTGTTTACTACATTGAGGACAACATAAACATAAATATTGATTAACTGATGTATAGCTAGATGTTTCGTGCGCCATATTAGTTCTTTTAACATTCTACGAAATCTTAATGAAACATTTTAAATTTGCACTGATATGAGCACCTTGATAACGATGTCCATAAATGCACCGCACCTTTTTAATCATTTATACTCTATTACTAATATAAAACTTAATATTAAAAATGAGTATTAGTATGCTTAACTAGATGCTGCATTAAAAAGTTAATATTTACCCCCCTTTGAAAAATACACCTAGAGATATGACTAGAAAACTAAATAATATAAAATATATGATGTGATCACCACATGACTTGTACGGGCTATTAAATTATGCACATTTATTGATGTACTTCATTTAAACTTATTTTTGCTGCACTCTGTTCAAATTTATTTCTTCCAATTTCATTACAGATATATTTCTCTTTCAATGAATTCGGTTCTCATTTCGCAGCAAGGCAAAAATACATAAACTCAAAACATCTTCCTTAAAAATTGTAAAATAAAGACAAACCTAAAACATCAGATACAGTTAAAAAAATTTTTACAGTTTAAATTAGAGTTTCTACTCAAAAAATCAGCAATTCGACCAGAGAGCAGGAAGTCAATATTTTCGGATCACAAAATTGAAAGTTAACTTTTGGTCCCACTGCAAAAACACACTGAAGTTGGTGCACCAATTTACTTAATTCATTATTCTAGCCTATATACGTTTGGTGCGGCACCGTTGCAATGAGAACTGGAGCTGCATAACAGATGTTTTAGCAGTCAATATACAAAGCTGAAACGTTCTACGGATACTCGTTTTTGAGTTAAGGAAGATAACCATAACTCAATTACTGTACGTGCGTACGTACAGACGTCCCGAAAAATATCTCTTCTAAATCCATTTTATAATCCGTTTTGGAAATTCCTTTATTCTGTTCCCAAGAACAGATGTCACGCAAACCCATCGTTCCAATGGATTCGAGAGCAGTTAGAATGGGTATTTTCGTTGAATATGATACCCGAAATTTTCCGCGATTAAAGTACTTCCAAGAAGAAATAAAACCATTAAAATTTTTTACATTTTAATGTAAAAAATTAATTCTAATTGAATCATGCATTTGATAATTTTATACAATTATATCTAAATTACATTGAATTAGGAGATTTACTATGTTTATAACCCTACGCGCCAAATGAAAATTTACAAAGTTATTTGCATTCATTCAGCTAACACTTTATATTAAGCATTTTAATATGGAATACTACATTTTTTTCCACAGAGTCAAAATGTGTTTATCTAAATAAATTAGGAACTTATCTAGACAAAGCTACAATATTTGGATCCACCTCCAGTACGAAACTTTAATGTTACTTTTTCTGAAATAAATTTAACAGTTAAAAAAAGGCCTATGACAGAGATTTCGAATTCTGGAGAAAAGAGACAGACAGCTAATGACAAAAATCTTACCTATCATCACCACTTTTGCTAATTGTAGTCTCGTCTCTATGCCATGTTACAGAGAGAGGTTGGTCTCCTAGGGCTTCGCACTTCATTCTAGCACTATCTCCTTTCTTAGCATTTACTACGGTGAATTTCTCTTCAAACCGAGCGGGAACTAAGAAAACAGAAAAATTGATACTTCAGAGATGATGTCATAATTATCAAACAAATTAATTTAATGTAATCTTATATTATGCAAAAAACACATGCCAAAGAAAAATTTCCATGGTTTAACCTTTGCCTTAAACAAAATCTTAATATTCCTTCAGTGTAAAATACATCTAATGTATAAAAATTTAATTTATTTATACGAATGTAATTCCAGCATGTACCGAGAATACAGTTAGAATTATTTGGCTAATAGTTTTTAAATAAATGCACCAAAGTTAAAATGTGGCATCTTTTAAGGTTTGTGCACTGTAATTAACACAAGCATTCAATTATTTTATGGAAATGGCCTAAAATAGGAAAAATTATTAGATATATAGAGAATGATGGTATTTTTCTGTTATGCACCTGCCATACACTTTGACGTGTGTGTCGAAACACACACGGTGTTTATCCATTATGCATGCATGACGTATACGCCAAAACACGAAAGAAATATTAAGCATACTAGAATTAGAATAAATAATTTTAAAGGTAAATTTATATTTTTGGAAAAAAATTTCGTATTAAAAAATTATACACTTTATAAATAACACGCGTCTAAAATTTACATATAGAATTCATGTCACAATTAAAAATATCATTAAAGAAATTAATATCCGAGATTCTGAAAAAGAATACCTCTCCAATCTCCCTGCAAAACAGTTTTAAACAGCATATAAATAAAAAAATGGTTATAAAAGAACATTGCTTTGCATATATATACATGAAAATATTGACTACTTAATACAAAAATGTACAGAACATTAAATATAAAATTGAACGCATTCACTCATACATTCATGCATACATTTTTAGCATTTATATTTAAATACCTGGTAAATAATTTAAGACAGGTTTTGAAAGTAAAAAAATCATTTTAAACACTATAAAAAATTCCAGAATTTTCCTAAAAGCTGCATGTAATATGCATTTGTAAATCGGTAGAAAACATGAAATAATTATAACACAATGTTGCAATGTAAACAGTAGCTCTAATGATTGTTGCTGTTCAAGTAATCGTTATTCTACAGAAGACTAGAATCGATATAAATTTATTATACAGCAAAACATAATTTGCTGCGTACTTCTTGGAAGGGATGTATCAGTATAAATTCGTTTTAACTTCTAATAAAAATAAACACAGACTACATTATAAAATTTATTTTGCATTCAAGTAACAGTTAGACAATCTTGATGATGCTCAGCTTTCGGAAGTTCAAACAGATCTCGTCTGTACGATGCCTTTAAATCAATCGTACCACCTTACTGTTCACCTTGACAGTGATGATTTTTTTGAGAGGGCTGCCAAGACCATTACTGGCTTCACATTCATATTTCCCAGCATCCTTCAAAGCTACACTGGTAACTGACAGTGTTCCGTCGTCAGATGTAACTATTTTGGACTTACTGCCATTTGTAAATGATCCATCCACACCTTAAAATAAAAAATATCATGAAATTAATAAACTCAGAATAATAAGCAGGACTGATAATTTAAAAATGATTCTTAAATTAATATTGCTGAAAATCTCCTAATTAATTAAACATTCATTAGAAGAGACATTTTGTAGACTACATTATAAATGAAATCTTCTATTTAATCAAACATTTATTACTCTTAAACTGCAAAAGATATTTATTAATTTAAATAAATTATAATAATCAGCAGATTTACTGTCAATTATAATGAAAGCGCTAAGTGCACTTCGATTGGAAACGACCAGCGTTCATCTTTCTTTGGGAACAAAATCTGTGTAGAGGGACAGAATTAGACCAATTAAAGCGATAGGTTTGCGAAATGAATTGAGAAAATATGAAATTATGGTGAACGAAGGTATGCACTATATGGTATTTGAAACATCTTTTGCTAATTACAATAATGTTGCAGATCTTCAAAAAATTATCATTTGGATAGATTAGAAATTTGGGTACTATTCGGTTTCGAGGGCCGTAAAAAATCGCCAAACTATTGTTGATGCCAATGTTGCCAAAAATAATTGCGGCAAGAAAGGAAGTATAATAGTAAATAACTATCTAAGATTGATGTTTTAATTTAGATTAAAGGTTAATTTCATATAATACTTTTTTATTATTATAATTTATACGAAAAAGACTAAACATGACTGAATGGTAAGCATAAGAGTAAATAACTATTTCAGATCATTCTTATAATTTATATAAAAATTTCTAAACATAACTGAATGGATGAGTTATTCGCTATTTCGCTACCGACTATTGCTAAAGCATAATTTCGCTACCGACTTATCGTCTAAAGCATAATTTCATCTTGTTGGTCGTTCAAACATAATTTTCTATATAGTGAATGATGCCTTTTCTTTGAAAATATTCTCGGTAAAGTGCAGAATCGCTCACGTATTTGTTTGCCGCTTTTTACAAGGTAAAATCAATTGAATTTTTGTCAATTTTCTTTTACTTTTTAAGTGAAAATATGTTGATGTGTACATAATAAAGTCAAGGGTGTGCAGTGCCATTTTTGTGCAATACTAGGATTTTTTTTAAAGTGAAAATAGGTCAATGTGCATATGGATACCCAGTAATGTACAATTCTTAAAAACGCGTCAGCAGTGGGTGAATCTGGACTTTACCCAAAATTCTATTGCTGACTTTTCGTCATGGGCAATTCCCCAATTGTTAAATCCATACGATATCAAAAAGGATTTAAAATCAAAAAAAATTTAAAAATTAAACTGTATGTCAATGGCGTCTTAAAAATATAGTACAATATAACTTACACTATCTGAAATCAACACGTACGCTAGATTTGGCGCGCTGTTAAATTGGCGCGTTTGCTAGATTTGGCGCTTTTGCGCATACATTTTCGCTGCAATTTTTTTACGGCCCTCAAAACGGAATAGTACCGAAATTAGAAGTATTTTAAATTATATAAACTAGATAAATTTTCAGAAATAAAATCAAGATTAAAAATTAACATGAAATACGTTTATAGTTTTTAAATCACGTTAAATGCAGGCAACACTCTAGAAAAACTATCTGTCAGGCGTCGATGAAGATAAAATTAATGAGCTTATATTTTGTGCGATCGTGAGCATGACTGCCAAATAGCAACATTTACTAGATGGTGTGGATGTTCAATGTAACGTAAGTTATAACGTAATGTAAATGTTCAAACATTTTGAAAAAGACTCTGCTAAGGGCTTTAAAACATGAGTAATTTACTGAATATTTCTATGAATAAGATCAGTTTACCCTATTTGAACAAATTCTCAGAAGGATTCCGGCAAAAAAAAAAAAAAAAAAAAAAAAAAGCCATTAGCGAGCCAAATTCTAATTCTTTTTATTTCAAACTAAAATTTTTAATGTACAGTTGCCGTTAAATATTTTATAAATTTGATATATCATTTTTAAATATTTACCTTGTGAACGTAAAGGAAAAGTATTTCAAGAATTTTCTTAATTAGCTCACATGAAAGATCTTTATATAAACTTTTAGAGAGCTATATTATTTTGTCTTGAGGTGATTTAACTAGTATTAAAGTTCCCAACAACGGTTTAGCGCAGTATTTGCAAATATTTTTTAGTCCATTAAGTCATGCTATACTCTTTTAGTCATGCTATGCTACAGTATCATCCATTTGCGTGATAAGTGCTTCTATTGTGCATATTCATGCGCCTCTTGCATTGCCATTTAGCCATATTAAGATTTTTATTTTATGAGTTTAATCTGTATTTACCTCCAATCTTGACCTCTTGAAGATTTGGAGGAACATAACTCAATTTATATAAATCCGACATTGCCAACAGGGTTTCTTCTGTTTGAATGAAATGAATATTTCAATGAGAATAAAAACTGAATTTAATATGTGGTAGTTAATTTGGATCTATTAAAGACATTCTTAAATAATTAACTCTTATGAAAGTTGATTAATAATGGCCATATTATCAGATATTCTCTTATTCTACAAATAATTAACAAATCAGATCAGTTGCACTAAAAGGTGGAAGTATGAAGCTTAGAAGAAAAATGAGGCAAAATTATGATGTTTATTGTTAAATCTTTCTATTCTTAAATTATTACTAAATAAATCTATTCTTAAAACTACTTAAAGTTTTAAGAATAGATTTGATTTTTGCAACAATTTCTGCAAACCCAGTTCGATAAAACCTCTACCTGAAAATGCTCTTCTCTAGAAGCTGAAAATGTTTATGTCTAACACTACAAATCCATTGTTTAGAGATGGAATGTATAAATATGTAAAGAAAAGGTTAAAAAGCACTGACAGCAAAATATACAAAGTTACATGCACAGAATTTTAATGTGTCTTTGGTAATAATCTTTCGGCGTGAAATCTAATGAAATCTAACTAAATGTTGCCAATCATACGTTACTTTTTCGCAAAAAATATTCAATTTATGAAAAAACATTTTGCTTCAGAAATTGGTACATTATAATATCGTTACAAAGAAGCTTAAATTATGTTTCATGACATTGGAAGGTTCTTTAGAATTCATGGTATTTGAATAAGAAAAATGCGTTCATCAAAGAAATGTTTACAAAATATAAGCATACTAAGGTAAAATAAAAACAGATTAGTAAGTTCGACCCAATTTCCAAGCACCAAAGCGTATACCGCAAATGAGAAGTGTTTCATTTCTATTTCCATGCATGTTTTAAATAATCTAGAGTAATTTCCACTGTCACTTACTTTCAGATATGAAGTTAGTCAAAAAACGTTTACACTACAAAATATCACAGTTACCATAAATAATATGTTGCAGCGATTTATTAATAAATCTGTGTCTTATGTTTAAATTGATAAAAATCAAGGTGAATATTTTAAAATTACATCCTGCAAATTTAAAATGAAAAACACAGGTCTGAAGCCTCTTTAAATTAGTTGAAGGCTGAAGTTTTAAACAGATTTTATACGAAAAACCTACTTAAAAAAGGAATGATCTGAAACAAATGATAATGCAGTGTTGAAATTTTCAATTTTTTTTTGTATGGACCAGAAGAAGAAAAACATTTTCTTATTTCGGCTATTCCATATTTGCCATTTAGGAATGATATCTAATTCAGCATACATGCACACGAAATACTTTTAAATTTTTAAGAAATTTTAAATATAAAATACATTATGGCTTTTAAATTTTTAGTTTGGAAATTCGAAGATTTTCTGCAATTCAGAACGAGAATTAAATTTCTTAAAAATAGGAATCGACAATTTTTCCGTTAATTAAAAGCAATAGCAAATTAAAGTAAATTTAGGTTGAGAAACAAAAAGCTTAACTTACTAGTATATTTATACCACACGATATTTGGTAATGGCAGCCCCGTTGCATTGCAATAAAGAATGAATGAGTTGCCTTACAAAACTTCTTTATCATCAGGCTCTTTCACCCAAGTTGTTGGCTCTATCAAACAGATTATTTACACAATATTTTATAAATTCGTTTAGTAAACATTTCTGAATAAAGATACGTTTTAACAGACTTTGAATACAAAACTCAAAATATATATTGGAATACATAGATCTGGTTGCAACTAGAAAACATTTTTGAGAAGCGAGTATGAATACAGAGGCTATTAGCACATTTTTCAGACAACTTTGCTTAGCTATAAAAATTCGCCAGCTTAGGAAAATATTTTGTAACTACAGCTATATTTTTTAAAGTGTAAATTATCGTCTGCTATTTGGCAATTTTCTTTTAATGTAAAATGACACTTTTAAAGAAGCAATGGGCGGAAGGCTCTTTACGAAGAAAATTATTTGTGTTTAGTTATTAAAAATACTGTGAAAGCCATGATCTTTCTGTATCTAAAACAACGATAAATAATATCGTTAATAAGGAATTAAGAAAAAGTCAAGTTTGATTTCAAACAAGAACAATTACGCATTGAATTTTTATACAGTGAACAGCAATTATACATTGAATTTTCAAAATATACTGGATAAATAAAAAACGGATTGTTATACAGTGAATAACAATTATACACGGAATTTTCAAAATACACTGGATAAATAAAAAACGGAATGTTTCAAATTTTGAAAAGGTAAGAATCTTAATGTTAAAAACATCTTCGAAGTCAAAGAACATTTGCATAATTAAAAGGATAGTTGCATCATTAAAATGCTCTGTAAAATGTAAACAAAGTTATTAATGCTGATTTGAATCTCAGAAATGCGAAAAAACGTGATGTGCCTCGTCTTTATCCGCGACATATCGCCGAAAGCAGAACGCGCTGTAGAATTCTCTATGAGAAAATATTATTCGGATAAAAATGGAAAAGAGCTGTCATAATAGATGAGTCTTGGGGATAATTAAATGACCGCAATAAAAAGATATCCATTTATTACCCTCAAAGAGAAAGGAAAAAATTCTTAGAACATTGTTCAAAGAATCAAAAGAATGTTTTTAAAAAGAATTTATGATTGTTTCTGTTTTTGATATAATGAGAAATAAAAACTAAAGAGAGTGCAGAAAACTGTTAAGATCAACTCCCATATTATCAGAAACATACTTTATACCCAACTGAAAATATGAAATATCCTTTCTTTACACACAGTGCCATCGATCGGTAGAAGTGCATTAAGACAAAGCAAGCAGCCGCCCGTCTGAATGCACTGTTAATTTCCTGTAAAAAAAATGGAACAAGAAACGTGTATCAAGGCCATATACTTCACCCATATCCGTAAAAAATCTGCTGATGTATCATCCATGGATTTTTCTGCTTTTGGACTTTTAAAAAGTTGATTGTCCAGACGTCAACTAACAACCCTCCATGGACTTTGGAAAGCTATTAAGAGGAATGGGATAAAATACCTCTTTCGCTAATAAAAAAGCTTTATGGTCTTTGAAATTACACTGTAGTATGATATTGAAGAATAAGGGTTATCAAATGAAACATTGAAAGCACAAAACTTTTAGGTAAAACAGTTCTGTAAATAAAATGAAAATCGTCTAAAAAATGTTTGAACAGGCTTCGTAATCTTGAAAAACAGATTTAATCTTTTCTTGAAAGTATTGTGGAAGAACGATCAACTTCCGATTAAGACAGCATATTACCAATCTAATATTAATATATCCTAAAAATTTAAAACAAATTTACAGAGTAAAATCCACGGTTTATAGTTGATTTCCCGATATCCGAAGGATGAAGTCTTTGATTAATTTTACTGACATATCTTTGGCAGTTGGTCTTATTTAATTTTGCTTTTAGGCAGACTTTTGGATGAATAATTTTCCACTCTTTTATTCAGAGGTGTTCAAGGTTTCATTCAAAGTCTTTATAACAAAAACAAAAATTTCTAAAGATAATATAAATCGTCATTTTTCACGTATACGAATATCACTTCAAATGCTGCTAAAAAATAACATTTTTCGTTCAGTATCAGTCCTTTTAATATTAATTGCAATTATTTAGCAAACATAAACACGCTATTAAAATACTGATTACTTTATAGTTAGCGTTAGAAAGAGTATTATAACAAATTTTTTCAAGAGTACATAACCTGGTACAATTATGAACAGACTCAGAAGAAAAATCAATATACTGAACATCTACTAAACCTTGAACGACGAGCACAGTTGTAAAGCTATCTTCTCCTACAGAATTCCTAACAATGCATGCATAATTGCCATTATGTTTGGCAGAGACAGGATCGATGTTTAATATTGAGACATCTTCGTATGTAGTCACTAAAGTAGCTGAATCAAAATTTTCAATTTCTCTGCTATTATATTTCCATCTGAATTCCAGCGGCTTGCTACCCTTTTCTACAGTGCACATTGCTTTAGTTGATAATCCACTTCGAACATTGGGCGGAAAAACAATAGGGGGAATTTTGGGTGAATCTGAAAGAATAATAACAAATGCTTTTAATAACTTGGCGTCAAAAGAATAAATTTTTATGATGTACATAATGCATAACTATCTTTATTTTAACATTACTATGAAAAGGTTATTAGAAATAAATTTATAATAATTTTAATTCTAATTAGAAACAGTATTAACGAGATAAGATATTTAATTCAAATAGGTACGGAAAAAAAAGAGAGAAAAAGATTATTTTTGCTTACCTAGCTGTGTACCTTGTAAGGTTTCCATAATCCATAGGACACCCACAAAAATGTAAATTCCATAAAGCCCCATATCGGTTTAATACGCTGAAGAGAATGTATTCGCATCAAGTAAAAAACTACGATAAATTATAAATTGCAAGTGAAAAAGGTATGCCATGAAATGTTATAATGCCGAAGTGCGCCATGTTTACGAGATTTAATGTTGATTCATAAAACAGGCTGTACTCTTAGATTCAAGTACAGTAAACTAGCGCCACACAGCGTCGAAATTCGAAATTTATAAGTAAAACAAAATATTAACTTGAGCAATTTTAAGATTTCTGCTGTTATTTTGAAAACTAAAAATGTCTTAATTAATAAGAAAAATCTGTTGAATCTATTTTTTGAAGATAAAGTGTCCAGATTTATTTAAAATATTATAAAAAATAAAAGCACGCTTTTATACATATACAGTTTTAAAAAAGCATTACATATAAGGCTTTTCAAAAGTAAGTAAAACAAATGTTGCTAAAAAAACGCGCTGGTTAAAAAAATAATCCAAAAAAATACAATGCTTCTGAAAAAATTACTATAAATCACTTAAAACGCGCCTGGGATAGAAATTTGATCACAACATTAAAATCTTTCAATTTCCTCTTTGAAAATGAATTAAAATTTCAAAAATTACATTCGAGCAGTCTTACAAAGAAATACTATTACATCATTCAAATAAAATACATTAAATGTGCAAACAAAGACAAAATATAATAAAAATGTATCGGAAATAGAAAATCGAAAAGCAAACAGAAACACTAATGCTTGTAACGTTGACACATGAGTTTTATATTTCAAGAAGCAACTTTAGAAAATGACGGGAAACGAAAACAAAAGAGTAAATTAAATATTCATAAACAGATATTTTCAAATTCTGAAACTTAATTCATTTATAAATGAAAATTTAAGATTGGAAATATATGATTTTATTTGTATTATTTGCAGATACAAATGAAGGAATCTTGCATTTTTTTAAAATCTCTTACCACGAATATTCATTACTACAAACTTCTTAAGGGCAGGACCAACACCGTTACTCGCCTCACATTCATACGTTCCAGCATCGGAAATTTTAACAGAATTGAAAATTAATTTTTCTCCTTTAGCAATGACTAAGGCTTCAGGAATATTTTCTTTTACTTCTGTAGGAGAATCTAAAAAAGAAAAAAATTCAATTTCAGTTTTCTTCAAGTAAACTTTTTAACGTATATAAATAAGATATTTTTAAAGTATATCGGAAATATTTTTTCAAAGATAAAAATTTTAAACCCTATGCAATATAATTAGTTCAAGTGTATGTAATATAACTAGTTCAAGGGTGTAAAGATCACCATTTTAAGACTTAAAAGATCTCCTTACTTTGTTCTTTTCACATAAGATATTTCACATAAGATATAATACCTCAAATCATCGGTGAGTTATCGTGACATTATACGACCAACTTGGCATGCTGGATCCATAGCTTCATGGGACTAGCACATATTTTTTAGCGAATTGCAGTCGGAATTGAGAGTCACCGCTTCAGCCTTCTCACTTCTAGTGAGTGACGCTGTTTTGTAATCCAAGTAAAACATTGACCTCTGTTGCGTGCAGTGAGTAGTAGTATTATTGCGGGTCTTCAGCTTCTGAAGCCCTTTTGATGAAGCGAACGCTACATGGTCTATCTGTTAACTGCCCAACTGAATTTCTCATTCAGTTTCGTGGGCATCTGAGTTAACCCTTTGCGGCACGGTGTGCCCAGTCTGGGCCACCTAAAAAGTTCCTTCTGTACACACAGAAAAATTGAATGAAAAAGGATTTATAGGTTACTATAGGTTACTCTGAACCTTCTTTATTTATAGTAGATGGCAGCTCAACACAAACTAGTCCATATATTTTAGCCATGTTTAGTTTATAAAGACCCTAATTTTTCAAAGAAATCTTCCAGAATTTTTTTAGGATAAAAAAAAAATGCTTGAAAAGAAATTTCTATGCTATTTTCTTGGCTGTATGATAATCCCTTTATTCTATATTAGTTTTAAATTTTTACCTTGAAATCTTGCCTGAAATCGAACAGCAAATAGTCTCTCAGTGCCCAGAGTGGGCTCACTGAGAGACTAGGACAACTGAGAGATTATATCTTTGTTTCTCTGCAGCTCACCGGTCAGTTAATTGATAACACAAAGGTGGGTCCACATTTGTGTTTCTCTTTCTTTTCGTTTTTTTAGGGGGGTAGGGGACGTTTGGTTATGAACTAAGAAATTGTTGGGAGGATTTTCTGAAGGTAAGGGGTAATTTTATGAGTTAACTGTTTGGTTTTCCACCAAAGCAGTTATCTTTTTCTTTTTCACTTTTGTTCAAAGAAGTTTTGTTAGCGCTACGGTTTATAATTTTGAGTTATAGACGTTTGTTTAATTTTATTTTATAGTATATAACTTCTAATTGTAGATATAATATTAGTTTATTATTGCTATTTTTTTATTTTTTTTGGATTTTTAGTTATTTTCCAAATGGATCGGAGAGGGCTGACCATTTCTGACGCACTGAAAAGGCTACACTAATTGCTTTCAGACAGTGAATCAGATACGGATCCTGGTACATGTGCAAAACATGCAATATTGGGTTGTTCTTTTTAAAAGGAGGTGTCACTCTTTTCGAAAAATACCGCAATGACAAAAGTAGACGAAAGAACATTTCGAGCACACGCATAGAATTAAAACGATAAGTGCTATCTTCACAAAATTTTATCTGTGTACTCCTCTATGCCTGATTAGACTGCCTACCTTTTTTTTTTTTTTTTAATAGAAATTCCAACCTTGAAAGGTAGCGTGCCGGAAAGGGTTAAAGTTTGGTGTTGTTGGCTATGTACGATACAGCCAACCTTTCGAAGATCACAATCATCCAAGGTTTCCTTCGCAGTCTTCTCGATTACTTTTTTCTGTTATCTGCGTACGCTTGATACCATGGAATACCGCCCAATCAGTATAATGGTTAGCGATACTGGGTACCGATTGGGCCGGGTTTGAATCCTGAAGAGAGCATGGATATTTGCAAGCATATAGCGTCCGTGCGGCATTGAGGCACGCAAAATATAGGGTGAGCTGAAAGATCTCTTGAGAGGCTGGTGGTAGAGGAAGCGTTGAGGTTGATCCTAGAACCGCCACACAGGGTGGTCACCCTCCAAATTTGGGCGGAAGCTTAAGAGTTAGCTAGGTTCAGCAACATCTCAAACACCTGTGGAACTACAGAGTGGTTGCCTAGCTTCTGTCTGTATTTGATAGCATATAATGAGAAAATCCCAATTTTCGAACTATTTCTGAGAATTCTAAGTATTTATTTTTCTTTTTATTATCATTATTCTTTTATTCGTGAAATGTTTCGTTTCTTATATCACTCGGAAACTGTTAGGTGTCCCATATATGTTTGCATCCGTGTACTTTTAAGAGACACAGTCAGCACTGTTATTATGCAGTATTTAAGCTATCGACGAAATTAGGCGCAGTAAAGCAAAAGTATTCTTATTCTAAATTTGTATTGGTGAAAATTAGCATAGAAACACTGTTTTAGTCAAATCCCACCTCTGATCCATAAATCTATTCAAAACAAAAACTTAAAAAGTAACGTTATTAAAAATGCAAATAAAACTAAAAGTTTAACTTTTTCTTTTTACGGATATCAAAATACGGACTGGATTTCAGTTTAGATGGAGACCTGCAGTAATTTACCTGATAATTTTCGCCAAGTTATAACAGGATTTGGTGAACCAGAAGCTGAGCAGTGAAATATATGTTGTGATCCTGGTAGTGCTGTTGTATTTTCAGGTTCTGTTTTCCATACTGGTGGAGCTGAAATTCAGAAAAATATTTTGTAGTATAAAATCATTTCTTATTGTTTACAAAATCACCGAGTAACATTTTATAAAACATAAGCTATGAAAATAGCTTACGACATGTTTAAAAATACTACAAACCGATATCCATCCAACACTTACTTTGTTCAATATGTATAAATTACTGGTACCTTGTTTTAAAACAAAATTTAAGGTGTTATTTAATAAAACGCCTATAGGTTTTGTTGATTAAATAAATTTAATTCTTGAAACCAGGTCAAATGATTATTTGAGATATCAAAGAAACCCTTATTGTTTCAAAATGTTTCGCTTAAAAGTTCTATTAAATCTTTGATTTCTGATGTAAACGGCAATAGTCAATTTACGCATATTTTGTTCCTTAAAATACAAAGTATCCTTGTATAATGATTATATTTTGCACTATACTACACCAACTATAATTACACAATACAGAAATTGTGAATTTTTGGTACTTGCGAATTCTCCCGCAGACCTAGGCTACCACTGAATCATGAAAGTTGGCAGATATCCCGCCAAAGTTGCATCAGTCATTCCAGTAGAATTCTAAACTGGTTACTTATTATATAAAACTCTTTATATAGTACGTAACCAGTATTATACTTGCTTCGTTTTTGTGCTGCATAAGAATGCTTTCTTTTGACTTCTACTACTTTGTTATACCTCTGATTTTTTCGAAAGCTTTGTTTAGAACGCTATGAGTACAAACTTCCCGCAGGTAATTATTCCATTCTATTAATGTTTTGTCGTCTATATGCTGCTGATCAAATCTTGTCCATCAGTACATATTATTTATGTATGACAAGGTCTTATAAGTTTGAAAATAACCCACTGCTTGCTGTTCTGTAGAGGTCCAAAATTTAAAAGGATGTTTGTTCAAAATGCAAGAAAAATATGCAACAGTCAGTTTATGGTTTTGTTCATAAAAAAAGGTAGCTTATCTAGAGTCAACTGGGATTATAATAAAACATGTTACAAAAGTGTTATTACTCTCAAAGCCCATTTTCTTGCTTATGCATTTTCTTTAAATTTAAGATATTTGCTGTATTTTGTCTTTACACGTATTTATAAAATAATTTTATAAATAATATTTTAACAATAGATTATAAGTTACAAATATTAAGTCAAGAAATCAAATGGACAATACATGGCATAATTTGAAAGAAGGAAATGTTATTTAAACTTAGGTTTCTAAACTAAATACTGAAGATATTACAGCCGAATTTGAATTGCATTATTTGTAACAGGTGACTGAAAATGGATCATTTCGAATATTTATCTGGGAAACAAAGGGAAAAAACTTCTTTTTCAAAAATATTATTTATTAATATGATATTTTCCTTTAAAAATGGAATATGGAAATTTACTAGTTTCGTATTCTTTCTTTATGAAAAATAACTTTGCATTCATTAAGTGAAGGGAACGAGAGCTCTGTCCTCTATTAAATATAACGGATAAGAAGAAGTTATTTCAGGCAAAATCAGATGAATAAAACGTCATTTATACATCAAGAAATCTTTCTTTGCAATACATAAACATACACAAATTGTCATTTTAATAAAGAAAGTAGGTACACTACCGATATATATAAACATAACAGCTAGAAAATCTTACATAAAGTTATTAAGAAACGAAAATTTTCAATGTAAGTAAAGCTTATTTCAGGTTACAGCTCATAGTATTATAAAAGTTTCATGCTTAAAAAACATTAAAAATTATTTTACTAATTAATACCTTCCAAATAATACGACAGTAAATTCTAATAAAATCTTTATTTTGCTCTTCACTTCCGAAATATAAATTTGAACCCTGCGTTCTGTCACACATCTGTCTAAAAATGTTATATAGGGAATTTTTATTGTGATTACTTATTTCCTTTCTTTTCTGAAAACGTTGAACACTACAGGTTTAGATTTATTTGATAATAAAAGCCGGTTCACATTTATTAGGTTCATTATATTTGAAATATGAATAATTTTTCAGATTTAATAAATGTCAAACTCTGGGCTTTCAATAAAACCTGACAAATAAATGTAGATTCATGAAAACTCACCTTCAACAATTAATTCTGCTGTGAAACTGTGAGAACCATCCTTATTGGTAACTGTGCAAGTGTAATTCCCAGAACTGTCAATGTGAACAGGATCTATTATTAATATAGAGAGTTCTTCATCAGTTTTGAACCGAAGTCCTTCTTTTTCGGCTAACTGTTTTCCATCTTTCTCCCAAGTATAAGTAAGTGGTAACTTCGATTCTGCAAGACAGAGCGTTGTAGTCTTGTCTCCAGCTCTGACACCTTTCTTGAAACTAAAAGGCTGGATAACTGGAGAAACTGAAATTAGAAAAAAAAATTCTTACTCTTTTAGAATTTCATAATAGGTTTCATTTATGGATATACAAACGTTCAAATATAATCCGAACACAATTCTTTTATTTGGAAAAAACGACTTTAAACTAATTCGCAGGTAAACTAGTTTACCTGCGAATTGGCTATTGCTAAAACTGGCTATTGCTAAAACTTATTAAATATTTTCTGTGTCATTATATTTAATAAATACTAAGTTAACGAAAATTTCGGAAGAATGGTGAATCGAACAGAACAAAATTTTGAAATTAAAATTGGATATTCTCAACTGAGGGGATTCTAGAATCGTTGATCATTATACAGTGCTAAGAATAAATAACAGTAAGATAAAATACTCATTTAATTATTATAATTAAGGAATTCTCGGGTATTTTATTTACAATAACTTAAAAAAAGAAAACGTCAGAACTGACAGGGCTACACTATCCAGTTTCGCTAGTTTAACAAGTTCGTATTAATGTAGAAAGCTTATGCATATTTCTTTGTCAAATACTTACAATAAAATAAAATTGTTTTTAAATGATCTCGAAAATATGTTTTGTTAACAATGTAAATCAATAAAATTATATTTTGAATAGTGACTAAGATTCTTCCTAGCTGCTGAGAAATTTTACGTAGATTATTAAAAATCCATCAACAAGCTTTGAAAACGCATCTACATTTTGTTACTAGGCTAGACATTTAAGTTAAGCAATATAAATAGCATCTAAATATTGCCATATTGTAAGATAAGGTATTAAATAAGATATGATCAAATTCAAATGAATGCACTAACATAAGAAGGAATATCTTACCTTGTAAGGTGTATCTAAAATGAGACACCAAAATCAACGCCGCTGGTAACAGCATGATGATTTTCTTTATACGCATCCGATTTTCTTGCTGTAGTGGTAATCTACAACTTTTTCATTTTATGTGAGAACGAAACGCATTACACAGAAGAAAGTTCAACGGAATTCAAACACAAGGAAACAAATTTTGTTACTAAATCGCGGAAAACTGTTATGGCTAGTGTACATCACTTCAGGCAATACTGTAATACCCAACATGGAACCCATTTTGGAAGAATATTTCACGGTAACGAGGCGCCACACATTGACGAAAAATGAAACTAAATGTAAAATCAACTTTTTTCCTTAAATATATTACAATAGAAAATATAAAAGTTCAAAACATTTTAAATTTATAAACATTATGCCAAACTTGGACAAAGTGCATACAAATATTCGCCTGTTATGAAAACTTGCAATGACGAGCATATGTAGAACAAGAAACAAGTATAAAGTCTGATCTTTCATTCTTTCTTAACTATAAATAAATATATTGTACAATAAAAAGAGGATTTTTCCACTTTAATAATCAAACAATTTTGTCTAAGTTATACATGCCATGTCTATTTACACCTTACCAATAACCCGAACATGAACTTTTGCTGTTAAAGTTGGTGGGATTCCATTATTAGCTTCACACTGAAAGATTCCTGAATGTTCTGCTTTAACTCCCTGAATTACTAAAACTGTGTCATTCCAACTACCTTGATCAAGAACACTCAACTCCGTACTACTGGCGAGTTCTGTAAAAGAACAATCTTAAGATTAGTTTGAACTTAAGGAAAACAAGCAATAATATATGGTTATTTTTACGTATTTCTAAGGTCTTCTGTTTATATTTAAATACTTGCAGTGAAGACATACGATACAAAATTTTCCTCCATGATCTTATTAAAACATGATTAAGCAAAAACTGTATTTTTAGCGTATTAGCATACTTTAAGCTTGAAAACCAAAGACATATCCTAAAGTCCAGTTAATTGTCATACATTTTTAAATTAAGTTTTCAAGCATGTAAATGATTGCAAATAAAAACGATTTCAATAACTTCAGAATTTTATATCTCTTTCAAAACTCTGAAATAGAATTATACTCCAGGGAATTAATAGTTTGAAATTTTGCTTTCAGCTTGAGAATTCTGTTTAACTTTTGAAATATGGTGCTTCATATCAAAGAATAATATATAGGAAAATAAAACAAAATTAATTTCCTTTTATAAATTGTAAGTAAATAACTAAGATTTTCAAAGAAAACTCCATTTAATGACATTAGCATAAAATTACTTAAATACTAACAACAAGATTGAATTTTAATGCTACGGCTAAGAAAGACTAAGAAACTAACTTTAGGCTAAGAAACAACTTCCTGTGTTAGATTTGGCCACTCGTCCCCTAGTAAGTTTACATATAGCATGAATTAATAATGTTCGAAATTAAAGTATAATAAACAAATCTGAAAGCTTTCAAATTATATATTACCCCAAAGGGGGCTTTTTTTTTTTCATTTACACACACATTATACGTTTCAAGAGCATTTGGCTCATGTTCCTTTGGGCTAAAAATATTTGAAAACAACATATCTTTAGAATATCCGATTGAAAGTCCCGCGCGCTGGAGATAAAAATGTTTTTCCAGTACAGTGCAGCCATGGCTCGCTTTGAAATCGTTGAGTTTGTTAATCAAATATTAGTTAAAGGTTTAAAAAATATGAAATAGACAGTAAAATAAATTCCGGCTTCAAGGGGCACATATTCGGGTAGAAGACTACGTTATTCAAAATTACATCATTCCACACATACATTCATGCAGATTATTCACTGGATTAATTTCTTTAATATAATACAGGACGATAATATTTGATAGAAACAATTTGAAAAGTGATACAATGCTTTTAGTGATAAACGCAAAATGACGTTTTGAGACTAATAGCTCTTCTGGGCTAAAATTACCGTATCTGTGTCCTTAAAAATGTTTATAAACACAAATTAACTATTTTTAGTTAATTTTAAATAATCATTATTTCTGTCATCATGATTTTGTCATTATGTAACCCCATAGACTATAGATAAAAGAATACATGTAAATTTTGGATTCGAATATTTTTCCGGTTAGGAATGCTTTCGGATATACGTTAAAAAACTAAGATTATACATTCTTTCTCTCTTAAAATAGGTAGAATGGGTATTATTCTTTAATAAATTTTATAAAAACGCTAAAACCGTATTTTAGGACATTTTTATGAAATTCATAATTATGAGCAATTATGTTTTAATATTAGTTCTGAATCTCTTTAAAACGAAAAGATGCAATTATATACTTGAATGTATCCCAAAAACCAGATTATCAAAAACTTACTATTAATTCTCTGCCACTGGATTTTTGGGGCAGGGTAGCCAGATGCTTCACATTTTAACAAAAGTTTTTCACCTATTTGAAGGACTGCATCAGATGGTTCATGCACCCATTTTGGGGGACCTAAAATTTTAGTAAAACGTTTTATACACAAACACTATGTTTAAAACAAATATTACCTCAACAACAGAAATTGAAAGAATCTGTCCTATTTATAATATCGTGTCATAAGAAACTCATTTTTTTTCTACTCTGAAATTGCTAATAGATGCAAAATAATTATTCTACCGAATCTAAGAGTAACGTTCTAAATTAAAATTTTAAAATGGGTAAATATGAAAATATTTTAACGTTGAGCAATACATGCATCAAGGAATTTTGAAGTCAATATTAATTCAAAGAAATCTCAAGCCTTGTAACATAAATAATATACTGAATGAAATGTGCATTTGCATATTAAGGCATCACTAACTTGAAAAAATTGATTTAGTCTGGAAAAAGTAGCTAAATGGCGGAGGGTTAAGAAATCAAATACTTCCATTCTCATTTTTATCGAAATCTATGTGAAACTTTCAAACTAATTTTTGGTACACTTAGCTGCTTTAATTATAATTACTATTTTTGAATCTGATCTAAGCAGAGGAAATTCGTTTGCTACATATTAGAAAATAATTAAAAGTCTTGCTTTTCCCTAATATGTTTCAGTCAGAAATTCATAATTAGTTCGCATTACTTAAATATTGAAACTAAAGACACACTGCAGAATAATTTCTAAATAGTATTCGATTAACTCCTTTTTCTAATTAAAATTTTGAAAGGAAAAGGTTTGGTTTTGTAGAAAAGAGATATAGTAACTCTACTCTATTCCGCTGAAATCTTTGAAATTTTATTCTGTAAAAGGTATTTTCTTTAAAAGTGAAAACAATAACATTATCATTTTGTGTTTTAGGAACAGCAGTATCTTAATTTATTGGGATTTTTAAATTAAAATGTGCATGCATAACTTTATTATGATGAAATTAATACTTATAATTCTTTTGCTATTTAAGGCACATATTCGTATGAAGTAGATAAAATATGACAGATTTTGTAGACAAATTAAGCATATTTAAAATATAAAACTATTAAATTATATATATTGCAATGATTCCAATTTATTAAACTTCATGAATTTTATAGAGTGGTAGAAGTAAATAAACATATGCATAGCATTTAAGTGTTCAGTAATATAAGTTCTTGTTTTCCCAGGAAAAACAAATATTTAGATTTTTTAAACAATGAAAGTTGTATTTCTACAGTATCATTATATGTTTTACACTAAGAGTTGCCACATGAAATGTTATCTACAATCATTTTGAAATCACTCATCTTTGACAGGTTTTATATACCTAAAATATAGTTACTGTAACTTTAATACTACTTTTATACCTTTTATAACTTTAATACTACTTTTATATATTCGTTTTTATGAGTATTAAATGATCTAATAAACATAACTATTACTGGAAAATCAGAATTTTCATATTACAAAAAAGTATTTATATTGAAAATGTCTTCTTCTAAATCTAAATAATTATTAATTTTTAACCAAGTGATTAAATTACTCACCTTCCACTTGAAGGAAAGATGAATAAGTATCTTGTCCTAAACTATTTCGGGCCAAACAAGTGTAATTACCGGTATTATTTGCATGCACCGGTTCTATGACCAAAACTGAAAAATCAGGTTCGTTTTTTATCCGAATTTGTGGCGAGCCAATAATATCTGTTTTGTCTTTCATCCAACGAAAATTCGATATTTCTTGCGTAGATGCGACAGAACAAACTACTGTAACTTTTCCACCATCCTTAACACCAATAGGGAACTGGAAAGGTTGAATTTTCGGTGAACCTACATATTTAAAAAAATGTTTATATTCAGAATGTTTAGATTGCTTTAAACACATACACAATATGAAGCGGGTTGCATAACAAATGAACAGTTAAAAGTACCGTCAATATAATGCTAGCAATAAATCGTCAGTATTTTTTTAATTTCTAAATAATTTAATGTTCATTCTGAAAAAGTAAGAATTTTAATATTTTTTAAATTTTTACTTTCAGGTCGACTATCTTTAACAATTCATTGAATTATGCCATATTGTGTTAATTTGAGGACAATTTTGGAGAAACATCAATCTTGAAGAATATAAAATCTGTTTTGTTATTTTTTGTTTTTGGGGGTAAATAAATTAATATATACATTTTTACGATTTACGTATTTAAATTATTAAACAAATCAGAATCAATTATATTTAGCTAAAGGTGAATTTATTGTAATTAATTTTACCTAAAATTATGACATCTTCAATCGGAAATTATATATTCATCTTTAAAGGTATTAATAACGATAGAGAATATGGCAGATATCGTATTAAATGTAAATAATAATTAAATTATGAAATGCACGATATAACTTTGCCACAGGGTTTGATAAAAAAGAGAATTTAATGCATGATTTTAAGTGTTCAATAGAGTACATACATCAATAATTTCATTTAATAATCCTACTCTATGCATATTGAAATAAATATAGATAGATATTGCATTTAAATTTACACTTAGAAGTAAAAGGATAACGTAGCATCATCACCATATTACTTTCAAAATAAAAACATAATAAATTCAATATTTTTTATTAATATATTTGAAATTTTATGATAGATTAATGATATTATACAATTTATTAAAAAAGTGAATTGCCAAAAATTGCTTACCTTCACCACGGACGAGTTTTTTCGCCAATACTAGAACTAATATCACCATCGAAGCGCCTTTCATTTGATTTATCAACATTTCGATAACATGTGAACATTCACTCATACTCGAGATCTGAAATCATTACTGTTGAAATATGGATTTTTCACAACATGAAAATCGTAAGTGAGACATGGAATATTGCGCAGTATTGCGTACTTGAGAGTATGGCGGCTATATTACACATTTTTCAACTATTGCCATTCACCATGCACACAGCGCCCCATATTGGCTATTTTGGGAGTTAAAAGTGTTTGGTTTAAGTGTAAAAAAACAGTATTATTTAATTTATCACATTAAATAAATGAAAACAAAAATAACAGAAATACTGAATTCAAACTTTCAAAAATTTTTCTTTAGAAACTAGTGTTAATATATGTGTACAGAGACTTGAAATAAATTTTAAATATTAAATTATCTCATAAAAATAACCTTCATTCAAATTTTACGACTGTTTTATTTTATTAATAATATATTTTGCAACACGTTTTTTTCAAATTCTATTATTTAATTTGATTTCAACTAAGACAGATGAACAATATTGTTAAAATGAAGAATTCCCAGTAATTGTTGGATAGCTATTACCTTCGACATCTATCAAAAAATTCTTGTTTATAGTAGTACCAACACCATTATTTGCTTCACATACATACATTCCAGCATCGTCCGCCGTTAAAGAGGTTAAATGAAAGGTACCATTTTGTGAACTAACTTCAAAGGAATCTTGCTGAGCCTTTTTCATGAGATGACCTAAACAAAGATGCATAGAAATAAATATATTCTAATTATAAGGAAACATTAATGAATATGCCATTAAATGACTCTATTATAGTAAATCTAGGTATAAATGTGTATTTGGCAAAATAAAATTACAGAACAAAATATTTTTGTTCAAATAAGTAGAACAATTATCCAAATTTAAAGAAAAATCTAATATTATTAAATCGGCATGCTTAGAAACGGAAAAAATATTAAAGACTAAATGAGGAAAAGACACATTTGTAATGTGTTCTCTGTCGGGAAAAATTAAGGGAACTGCTATAAAACAGTGTAACTTTAATGATTTTTACAGTCAAAAACATAGAATTTGCCCAACATTTTTATTTTATCACGCCTGACATAGCTTCAAAAATTCAGATTTTCTTGTTTCTGCAAAACATAAATTTAAATAAAACTATAGGAAATGAGATATAAAGTGAAGTAAGGAAATGTTGGTGTAGCAGCCTTTTACAGATATATTTATATATATATCTCAAAATTAATAACAGTGTGTGGTTACTCCCGACTGAAATCCAAGCATTACAGCTATTTTACAGGAGCTTTTGTGGTACAAAGTATATTCATGACGAAAAGCGCCTTGAACCTCCTGGAGAGTGTTAAACAGAGGCTTTTGCACCTACGACAGGGTGGCCGTTAACCGGGGTTTACACATCGGCTGTTTAGTCTTGCTATTGGAGTATTTTAGTGTTTGGTTTTGAATCAAATCCCCCCAGGCTGTTCTTTACAAAAGCAATAAAATATTTCATTTTGTTTATATGGTGCTTGTTTAAAGAGGACGTGGCTGTTACAATTCATATGGTCATTGACAAATTCATTGAGAGTTTGATTTCTAGCGAGGAATTTGGCTGAATAAAAATATGTGCATGTTCCATACTTTAAAGGGACTAAATTCACAGTCCCCGAGACTGTTCTTTTTAAACAGTAGGTAAAAAACTAATGCAATTCAATGCTCGAATGATCGAGGTCAGAGAAGAGCTTTGCAAGGAAATTTGGTAAGCATAGGCTTGTTTTTTTGCCTTGGGGAATGCTATTAAAACAAGAAAAATAATTTTTATTATTGATGCGAAGACACAAATGAAGATGCAATACAACGCATCAGCTATAGAAATTATGCTGAATTAAACTAAAACAGGGTACGAAACTAATAAAAAACAGATGCAAGACATTGAACGGAATGAAATAATTGCGATTTGGGCATGACATTTACCAATTATTTTCTGCTGATAAATACATACACCAATGCAGTTCTTGATAAAGAGAATTATGGAAACAGTATTTTCATATAATAAAATTCATATATGAATACTAGAAAACATATGAAAATACAATTAAACAACACGTACCGTAATAACAAGTAGTTAGAACGAACCGATGCATGTTCACTTAATACACCTAAATAGGAAAATACCAAGGTACAAGATTATACAAAGCGGGCGTAATCCCTAAACCACCACCGGCGGCATTGCGTCAGGGACAAATATTCCACGCTGCTAGATATATGCTATGCATAGGCATTCATGTATATGTTTGAGCACATGGATAATTTTGCAGGTAAATTCTTGCCCCATGGAGCAATATAATCACTTGGGGGCTCGTACATTTGAAAGTTCACAGCTTCTTGACAGTCAAAAGTTGAGGGTCCTCGACCACATCGCAAATACATTGGTTGTTTCCTCGCAAATCGAAACTTAACACTAATTCATAAATCGCAAATGTCGCATCCAGTACAGATAGAAATACAGAAAAACGCTAATTAGTTTCTGTCCGATTTTGGAAAAGAATTTCTACATTCTTTCGCCCATAGTTTCGTAGTCCGATAGTTGTTTCTAGTGAATGTCCAACTTATTCCGAAGTATTTATCTGAGATACGAACCCGGATGTGGTATATCAAGTGCACATTTGCTTTTCGGGCTTTATGACGGCTCTTTTCTCTATCACAGCAACATTTTTATTTCCAGTAATCTCGGTGTGAGCTGGGACCCAAAGTAATTTCGGCCTGAGATTAAATGTCATATTTATTATTGTTTGTTTTATTTCCCTGACTATGACATTCTTGGAGCGGTGGCCCTAAACGGCTTGCAAGCTTGATGAGGAATCAGTAGATGGTACGGTAATGGGCATTGTTTTTTACATATTTTCCCAAGTATTTTAGTTTATTTTCTCTAAAATACGCAGTTATCATTGTCTACCTGATCAAGATTTAACTGAAACAGTAATTCCTAATTTCATCACAGAGCAATCAAGATTTAACTATCATATCTCCTTGAATTTCACAGTAAGCGTGACCTGTTCCTTACTCCTCTTTGGAGCCGTCAGTCTATACTGCCTTGGTATCCAGCATTGTTGTAGGTTTGCAGTTGGCAGTGACTTTAAAAGCTACCGGATGGCATGGTAAATTGGTCATATTGCGCTAAAAGGCTGTGGTAATATTTATTTTCCTATACAGTAATATTTTCTCACAGGAGGCATACAATTGCACATTTTTTGTTGTGCTATCAAATATAAGGAGGCGGGCAGCTAGAATACCTACAGAATTTTCTGGATAGGTCTACAAATGTGGCTACTGATGCAAGTCGGCGTTCTAGTTCGTCCCACATTCCCTAATATTTCCCCTATTCTCACTTATCTCTAATATTTCAACATGCTTAGTTGCAAAAGTAAAAACGTACAGATCAATGTGGCTATTTAAAATGATGCCTACAAGATATAATAATTCCACCACCTTCGTACCGATGGCTTTCATGAATGATTTCAGACTTGCGCAGTCAAAATACTTTCAGACTTTCCATTGTATGGTTTACTCCTTCCAGACTGTGACATATTTGAGATAATTCTCCAAAGATGAAATTCATTAGTAAAGAATTTAGTCTCAAATCATTAACAAGGATCACTGCAACCGGGCGCATTTCACGAACCAGAGTTATTGTGGTATAAATAAAGAGTTCGCATGTAAATAGTCTTACTTCGAATTACCAATCAACCATTTTCATTGGACTTCACTTAACAAAATTAACAAAAGCACTTTATAACTGTTTCTTTAACTTTTCCCATCAGAGTATAAAACAAAGATTGTTTATGAAACATACCTGACGCTTTTTTAAGTTTGACAACAGGTTTCGGAGACCCATGAGCCCTGCAGCTTATAGTTACCGAAGACCCCATGGCTATTGTTATGTCTTTAGTTTCGTCAAGCCAAGATGGAGGAGCTATAAAAGAATAAATGAACGGATAATTCTTCTCTATAAACTTACTCCTCTTTACAACTGAATCAAAAGGTTAGCAATTACCATTGTTTAAATACACATAATAAATTTCCAAAGATATAAAGGAAATGTGCAAATCCTTAAATATTGTCAATAATTGAAAATCTAATAACGACGAAAGGAATAAAACATAGTTTTGTAATTGAAAAGAACGTATTCACAGGTATACTTCAGAGGCATGTTAATAAATAAAAACTGGTTTTGCTGAGCGACATGATTAAAAACGATTAAACGGAATAAAGATTAAATATTCCCACAATTTTTTGTGTTACTCGTGGTGAAATTTGTATATTCGGTGACGCTTAACATATTGCATATTCACAGAAGTGCAACTGCCCTCTTTAATTTTGGACAAGAAAGATAAATACAAATTCACCGTAACATTTAAATTAATTTTAACTCTAACTACCAAATCGTAATGTACACATTGCACACAAACGCGGGAGATAGTTTTATATCTCCCTTTCTACTGGGATGATTGACGAAACTTAACTTGCCTTTTTCATGTCCCGAAAGCGCAACTTAGGATAGTGTTGTTCACACATAGAAATTTTGACACAAAATCATTATTTGTTATAAGCGATAATAGCTAGAAATGTGGTTTGCAAACTTTGTTAAAATTATTTGAAAGACTGAAAGAAGCACATTTTTTTTCGCTCGTGTGCAGTAAACCGGAAAGAAAACAGGTTATCATAAGTTAATAATTTTGAAAAGTGAATGATTGCTAGACATTATTACCCAGACAACTGCAATCGCAAAAGCTAAAAATATTTCGCTACAAGTAATTTGCTCAAGTTGCTGCTAAAAATACTGAATCAGTTTTCAAATATCAAAACAAATTGATGTAAATCAATACTACTAAACAATGTTTTAAGAATATGTGAGGGTAACAGTAATTTAAACAGTTTGGTTGCTTAGTAGAACTGATTTAAATGCAGGGAAATACCCTTATTTAATGCAAAGCACTTTAAGCTTCTGCTTTATAATGAATTTCCGGTGACTGCAATTGCTTTTGAAATATTCAAGATGATTTCCTTCATTCCAAAAAATAATTTTACTATTTATGCAAAAGCGTATCAAGAAATATTTTCAAGTTGACATTTTTTATTTTTCTTAAAAAAGCATTAAAATGCTTTTAATATTTTTTAACATTTTCATGCACTTTAAAATTTATTTTGATTTTCTTCTTTGAATTTCCGATTGCAATTACTAATGTTCCTTTTGAATTAGTACTTTAAATATTTTTCGGATATGATTAGTAGTGTTTTTACATAATTCATATCTACACTTTATTTAGGTAAACAGGGTGGAGCATCGTCGATTACCCAGTTTGAAAACAATATACTCGGCCGTAAATACAACACCAAATATTTTATATTTGCTACCAAAATTGTTATTTACATACATGCCATGAGCATTTGACTCTTGCGTCTTGTGTTTGTTTTCGGTAGTTATTTGTAAAATATAATATCTGACAAACTACCTCCTTGGTTAACAATGCATTGCACAAAATGATTATGAACATTTTCCAGTATAAGATGAAGGATATTCGGAATTAGTATGTTTGCAATTTGCTTCTTCGAGTCTTTCGCTCGGTACTTAAGTATTATCGCAAACACCTTAGTCATTTCAGATTGGCATTTGTAACACGATGTTAAAACGTGCAGTGTAACTGCTTCAGCAAATGTTTGCCACCAGTAAAAATTTATGAATATTTATATAAGCAATAATTAGAATAAGCTTATAATAAGCAACAATTAGAAGAGCAACCAAACTGAAATTTGATTTTTGATTTATTCTCTTAAATAATTCTTCCTTTAGTAATTTTTAATGGTTTTAATAAACATATATTCTCTCCTTCAGCCCTAGATTATAAATTATTACTTCTTAGTAAAAAGAAGGAAGGAAGTTATCGCTATAATTTATCTATTCTTACTTGGCGGATAATAAAGACTAAGAACATACCTTCTATTTGCAACACAGCAGAATGAGAAGCAGCATCTTTACTGTCCACAGCTTTGCAAGTGTAATTTCCTTCACTTAATAAATTTACAGGGTCTACAATAATGATGGAGAAATCATTACTGCTTTTAATCCTTATGTTTTCAGAATCTTGGAGAATTATGCCGTCCTTCAGCCACTGAAACTGAACATCGTTGGTTAACGAGGCAGCGAAGCATGCTGCCTGGGCTTTCTCACCGACGCTAAATTGTCTTGGAAAACTGAATGGTTCTATCTTCACTAAAAAAAATCTAAGAATTAGAAAGCGTATCATTTAGGTGTAATTAAGGTCAATGAAATATGAGAATTCAGCTTTTCTAAATACAAAAAGAACATACTTTAAAATTAAATAGTAAAAATTTTCTTCTATTTCTACAAGTAGTATTTAGGAATTGGACTTATTATTACTACACTTTCGTTTCACCCTTTTTAAAATACATAAATATAAGTATTTATTAAACATTCGACTTGCAGTGGCAGTTTGTTTATTTTAATTCTTAAAAATGATATATTTTTAAACATCTCGTATAATAAAAAGACATTCGTTTAGTGTATGCAGTAGTTGTAGCAATAAACTAACTATGCCCTGAAAGATGTAACTGACCCGTATTAGGCCAGAAATTATTCTTTTATTTCACCAAATAAAACTAATTTTAAAACGTTAGCTCATTGTACAATTAGCTATACGTTTATATATTAAATACTTTTAATATTTTATTCGAACATAATTTCTCAATATTCTTTTTTACTCTAAAACATACTAAAATTACAATTGTTCTATATATCAAATGAATTAATAAGAGCTATATTGCTGATTGTAACAATCAAGGTTCTTTAAAATTTAATTTGTATGTGCTTTCATTTATTTTGCTACTTGAAAGATCAGGTAATGCAGTTGAATAAATTTAACATATAAAGAAAGATATACATACATCTCTGGCAGAGAAATCATTCTGCAACAAAATAAATTACATTTACTTAACTTTAGTATTCAGCTGCAGAACGCAATGTATTAGTTTAAGAGTTTCAATACGGCACTTAAAATAAACATACTTAGGTGATCTACGGAATGTTTAATATGTAAACTTAAAACCTTCATTTACGTAGTGTTGTGCTTTATATTTTCTATATTTGTGTTCAAATATGTGCGACAAATATATATCGTATAAATAAAACAGAAAAAATGCACGTTTAGCAAAGTAATAATTTTTAATTAATTGTTATACTGCATATCATATGTTAAAACTATACAAATATCATATGCATGCACATAGTACAAGAAACTAAGGTTTAACTATTACTTACCTTCAGAATAGGATAACGTTCCACAACAGCAAACAAGAAATAGAGTAATCCTTGTGCAGCCATTCATAGTGTGTTATTTGGCAAAGAAACTTTAACCTACAGAGCTAATAACAACATGTTTTTATTAGATCAAGCTCTGAAAACGGTATCATTGTACAACTGTGCATCTGAGTGCAGCAAGCTTTCGCGTCAGAGAATGATATACAGACATGGCCGAGCTGTAAACGCTTAACAGTATTGCAGCGCCACACTATGACGAAAATAAGAAACGTTTTCCAAAATTAAAAAATATCAACATTTGAAACCGAAAATCTTTGAGGATATCCTTAATAAAAACTAAACAATAGCTTAGATATAAAAATTTTAAAAAATGATCGCGGAGTTTAAAAGGTACAAAAAAGGTGCTATCCCAGATATATTTACCCAATTTTAAAAGCCTTATTAAAATGCATTTTATATACATAGTAATAAAAGCAAAAATAATTTAACTATTACATATTTCTGATGTGCCTAAATACGTATCTCAAACTCATACCCCGGATTGTTATAGTGACGTTTGTTGAAATGTTTGGCTGAACGCCATTATCAGCCAAACACTCATAGAAACCAGCATCTTCATACGATATCGATGAGAACTGTAAGGTACCTTCTTCATTAATTTTTAGATTAGATGCGGAAGGAAGCAGATTCTTCATTTCGCCACCTGAAATATTCAATTAAACAATGTTAATTTAAAGAACTAATACAAGTATTAAATACAAACACAGTAGCAACATCTGGCCTGGAACTTATGTATTTCAAGAAAGAAAATTAAATCTTAAATATATGCATTGTTTAAATTACTTTTTTACATAAAAGCCAGATGGTACACACGCTTAAAATTTCTATCTGTAACATTTTTCTATAAAAGTAAAAATAAATTAAAGAAAGTACCTGCACTTAACTGTAAAAAGTTTAATTAAATTTTCTAGCATAAATGCTGAGTATTATTCATGCATAATTTTGCGCATAATATTTCATAAACCACTCCTAAAGAAATGACTTCTGAAATATTAAATCATTTAGTCAGTACGGAAAAGATTGACTATTTCCAGGTTGATGCAAAATATGAAATATAATAATTTATTTTAGATATTTGCATTTATTAATTTATGTTATTTAACTTCTTGGCAAATAGAGGTTAAAAATGTTCATAAAATATATATTTTAATTGCATTTACGTCACAAACTAATTTCTTATTAAAAATCCTTTTCTACACTATGAGAAATGTGTCTGATATTCTTTGTAATAATGTAATAAAATATTATGACTGTGGTGCAAAATCTAACAAAAATAAATTTTAAATTCATGTAAAAGTATAAATAGTGTAGTAACTAAGGTCCTTTTGTGAAACTAAAAAAATATTAAAGGTTTCCCCGTTGCAAATTCTAATTGTGATTTTAAAACATATTTTTGTTTAAACAGATAAACAAAAGCATATTTTTTGACTAATGCAAATATGTATTCTTTTGATAATTTTCTACAAAACAAAAGTAATTACTTGTTAAACAGACAACTTCATGAAAATATGTTGTAATTGAAAATATACACTACAGAACTGGCTTACCAAATTAAGATTTTGGTTAAAAATTTGAAACAGGGAAAACGAGTTGCAGTTGCAAAAAAGCCAAAAAACGGCAAAACAAATTTCAGTATGGTTTTTATGTTTTAAACTATTGTCTTCACATAAAAAGTTAAATATATAGATAAACACTATTCTCTCAGCTGAAATGAATGCAATATATCAGTTTGTAATTTTTGTCTGTAATTACTGACGATACAGAGAAGTAAAAGTATTTGCTTTGTAGTTCTAATTTGATTCTTACAATGACATGAAGAAAATTTAGATTTAGTTTATTCTACGAACATAATACTTTTATTTCCGAAAAAATTGCGGATAAATTTTATAAAGTAATTTTTTAATGAAAAAAATGTACTGCTCAGTCGCCTCAAAGCAACAACCAATAGAATACATGCACTTTTTCATTGTTCTTAATGATAATAAATTAAGAAGCACTAAAGGAATGAGTCTTTTGTTATTTGTAATCTTTGTATTTTTTATTATTAAAGGTAAAAATATTTCAATTTACCAACAAGAAGTTCTTGTAAATAATTTCATTCTGCACAAAACGAGCTCAATGTCAAACGGTCATGCGAATTCTCAGATGCAAATCTAACCGACAAAAAGCAAAATTTTTTGCGGAGTTAGGTTTAAAAAATTCTGTTAAGAGCTGAACTGTTATCAGGCTAATCTGGAGGTCCTGCTTCCAAATAACACAGCGTTAATGAAAAAACAAAAACCATGAAAATACTTCAGAAATAAAGCTTACGTTACAGCAATAAGACATACCTGATTGCTTTTTCCATACTATATGAGGCTTAGGAGAACCAAATGCAACGCATTTGATTATAACTAATTCTCCTACAGCTACTGTTACATCTTTTGCCGTTTCTATCCACCTTGGAGGAGCTAAATATGAAAAACATAACATATATGTACTCGTTTAATAGTACCTAATTTATTATCATTATTTATGGTAAATAGGTACGATACACATGCGTGCTAATACATATTAAATCTATACAACTAGCAGATACAGAAATCATACATGATAACGAACAAACATTCTAGCCAAATGAAATTCTAAGAACAAGAACTGTTTTCACGTCCCAGTTATCTTCAGGTTGAATCATTGTGTTAGAAGTTTAATCTTCAGAATAACACAATAACATTCATATATCTAATGCACAGATAAAATGCACATTAGTACGACTGAAAAAGAAGGAAGTTAACATTTGTGTACTCAGTTCTATTCAATATATTATGGAGTTTGGTGTTCTTTGGTAACAAACTAATTTCAAACTCCTTAGAGACTGGGAGCGAATTATCATTGCTTCTGAACTTAACGATAGATTCTTGGGAAGGTTTAAAAACAGACTTTTTTTTATTAAATCAGAATTCGAACATACACGCACGACCCCTGCTTCAGTCACCGAGTACGGTGATGACATTTAAGCAACAGTGAAATTCAATATTAAAAGCTAATTCTAGTATCCGAAGGTTCCACGATTGATTTAAACGCGAAACCGAAACTTCTTACAGGCGTAACAATTTAAATGTTGGCAGTTATCATACAAAGATTACAATATTATCTGAGCTAGCGAAAATTAGTAACTTTGCGCCTGGAGAGGCAGAAACATGCTGTCTTACCATCCAAACAAACTCAGTTTTAATACTTTGAAAGGAAATTAGCATCCTGGCATGGAAACCGAAGGGAAAAGTTACAGTAACGATCTAAATCATAAAGTAGTGTTATATAAAATTATATTAACCTTAAAATATTACTTGAGCAATGACTGTTTAAAACTGGTAGAGTTTCGACACATAGAATACCTGGCACTATACAATTTCATTTTTTTCATTGTCAGACGATGGATGAAAAGCTTTTGTATAGTATAGTAATAAATGACAATTTTATAACTCTTATTTATTTTTATTAAGTAAAATATGCTCGTGCTTTCTGAAACCCTCCGTGTTGTTGCTTGATGTACGGATAATCATGTAAATGCTTTTAATTAGCTACTGAATGGAAAGCTACTTATATCATCTTTAATTTACAATGTTACTGTAATGACGGTAATATGCCAAAATTTAAGGTTAAAACAGTTTACAGGAGGATGTGCTGTTCTATTTTATAATTATGTACCGTATAGAAATTCATATAGCTTAATACTATGTACTCTATTTAAATATGTTAAATTTTGCAATGCACAGTAAGATAAGAATTTTCGGTACTTGTGTGTTATAGGGCACCTCCGCGAATGAATCGCTAATCAACTGAGATATCTCTCCAAAATCTGGCTGCTTGTTCTTGTACTTCTCCACTCTCCAATTAATCGTATATTAGTACCATGTTGCATTTTTAGTTTGCCGAGTATTCTTATATTATTCATTTTTCATGAAGTTTTCAAATTCGTATGTTTATTTAAAAATATATTCATTGTTGTTTTATGAATATGAAGTTAACGATCTTTAATTTACCAAATAATGAGGTGAATGTTGTATAATTTTTTCAAGAAAAAGGTCTTTTACCTGACAATGTGTATGCGAAAATGGCCACATCATGAAACTTCATATTAAGAACGAAACCACTTGGAGATGTAATGCTGAAATTTGCAAAAAGAAGAAGGCCTCCGTATTGGAAATTGGCCCAGCGGTTTTAGAATATCTTCATCACTGCTATTAGATTTAAGTATTCGTGAGCAGACGAACTGCTGCCCATGAAATGGTCATACAGTTTAATCTGTGTGAAAGTGTTGCAGTTGAATGAAAAAATTACATGCAATAAAATAGTAATAATAAAGAGTCTTACAAATATTCTTAGGAAACAAAATGATAGTATTATTATTATTATTATTATTATATTCTTGTTTATTTTAACACTCGCGCTTCACGAGCTAGGCGAAATTATAGCCGAGATCTTGGCGCAATTCTAAAATCGCCAAACTTGATTGGAGGCCGCTATTATAAAAAATGTGCCGGAATTTTCTTATAGGATAGGAATTACCTTGGAGGGTTTGATGTTATTAATTAGTTATCTCATTACTAATGCCGTTACTGTCATTCGCTCCCTCCCACAAGCTGCAAATTAGTTCCATATATTAATATTCTAAAATTACAAATATCTGTATGTAATTTCTATAATTATAAAATATATTTAGCACATTATGTAAAAAATATGATGCTAAAGAGCTGATCTGACGTTTTAGATACAAAATATTTCATATGAAAGGAAATACAGATTTTCCGTTTAAATGGAAATTAAAAAAAAAATAAGTCCTTTATTATTTTTTAATCATTATCTTTTCATTAAAATTTACTGAACTTTATATTGCTTAGACAAATCAGGATTAAAAGAAGGAATGTCGAAATGCAATATTCAAATACAGTGTACGTGTAGTCAAAACTGGCAGTATTAGTACAGTCTGGGAAATCAGTTTAATGTTCTCTTTACATCATAAGAGGATAAGAAGATTAAGAAATCTGCCATCTGCTAAAATTTTTATTTTAGAATAAAGTATAAATCCAAGAGCGCTGGTAGTTATTGTCTAAATTCTTTGGCTAAGCAAAATAACAAATTCTACAGATATTAAATTCATTTCTGATATATCCCAAAACTTTAGGCTTTCACATAAAAGCATGATTTTGAAGATTCTTTACCAAATGCTTGCATTTAAAAGCATTTCTTTGAACTTGAAAACCAGTTTCTAGCCTAGAAAGGTTAAAGTGAAGAGCCATTAAAATAAATGGGGTGCTTCTTAAAATGCGTAATTAAATCTATTACCATATCACTAAAAAAATTTCGAGTTACAGCCGATAATACATTTGTAGATCAAGTTATGAAAAGATTTAAAGATTTAAAAAAATCAAATAGCAGGAGAACAATTGATTAGGCAAGTATTATCCAAAATTTTATATAGTTACTTTATATGGGTTTTAGCTATACTTTAGTTTTCAAAATTACTGAAAAATGTAAGAGATAATTTACTTACCCTTGATATTCAAGAAGGAACTATGCTTAGCACTTCCAAATGAATTTGTGGCCGTGCAAGTGTAATTTCCAGCACTGTCAATGCTTACGTCGTCTAAAATGAGAACGGAAAATTCACTACTGTTTTCAATTCTAACGCCTTTTTCACTACCATCTAGCAGTTTTCCATTTTTGTCCCAACTGAAATGAATAGGTTTTGTTTCCGAAACAGCAAGGCACATCACTGACACAACTTTACCATCAATAACATTATCTTGAAAAGCAAATTTTTGTATTTCAGGAATTTCTGAAAAGTAAAGGAAACAATTTTATATTCATTTATACTAAAATGTTTTATAATAGCATTAAAGGCACTTGATTTTTTAACAAATAAATTTAAATATTTTCGATGTATAGCATTAGATTTGTAGTACGTTTAGGTATAAAACTAACTTTTGATATTTCTTTTTAATCTAGAAATTTTTATGAATTTCTTTTAGAGACTAGCTTAGAAAGGCAATAAGTTGGATTAATTTCAGATGTCAGAATTATTCAGACAAATTCTACTAAATTTCAACAGCTCATTTGAAATAAATCTGGTATATTTTCACTTTCATATAACCCTTTAGGGTATCACGTACTTTCATTAAATTTATAATTACCGAAACAGGGTTTGAATATAAGAATAACAAAGATACAAAAACTGTTTTTATGATTTCGAAACTTTTTTTACTGTTGAATAAATTATATCATCTAGATTCGCTTTATTTAACAGCAACAATACATAGCAATAAGAATCGAATATTTTCGCTATTTATCTGGTTTCGTTAAACCTCTTTGAGCACAAAAAGTGACATTAAATGAATAAATAACAAACGGTTTTAAACAGCAGATAATAAGGCAGAAGGGCTAAGACTTTTTAAATCGAATAAAAGCTTATATTTTTGAAAATATGAGGCCTAAATAGTAAAGCATTTTTATGTTGATTTGCAGCTGTAACAGAGTACATTCTCGTAGATCCAATCTAATTTTATAATTTAGTAGAAATATATTAAAGTACATAAATTTACATGTATTTAAGTTGAGAACTTGAAGCAATCTGAACATATTATAATTCATCTTTATAAAACGACTTAAAATACTATTTAAACACATGGAAAAGAAAGGATTTTGTAGACATTCCTTTCTTTTCCAGTACAAGTCATGTAACAGTATCAGTGTTATCGTTTGCTACAAATTAAATACGTTTCGCATATAATAGTCATAATATCTAATAGAAAGAAAATAATAACATCCCGGTAAAAATATAATGACTAAAATGTATTGTAACTCACCTGCAGCAAAGTAGCCGATGATTCCGAAAGCAGCGAAGAGGAAGACTTCCACCCAAAGAAGTGTAAAAAGTTGTACTTTTAGACGCGTATTCCAAGACATTGCTTTTCAGCTAGCGTATTTCACTTTTACTAGGATGCTAAATATGCTGAAATTTCGCTTTTTCCTAAGAATATTCAATCATACGTATTTGTGATATAGAAACGCATTCACTTACAAACCTGTTATAGTGCCGTTTATGCACTGAAATGGGCATTTTTCTGACATCAACGCTTGGTGATACGGCTCTTTACAGATACGCAGCGCCACACTTTGACACAAATGCAAACTATAAATATTATTATTTCATAACTTTCTTTCCTAAAAACTTCGTGCCCATTTTTATTAACAAAACCACAAAATTGCTTCCAAAATATATTGATAAAAAATGTGACCTTTTTTTGGTAATAAAGAAAAACCAGAATTGAGAACATTTAATCAGATGCGGTACTTTTCCGAAGATTACATCATATTTGTTAAATTCAAAGGGAAGTTTTATGAGATCATGTGCAAAAATAGTGATTTTTCTCTGAAGTACTTGCATTTACTAAGAAATGATGTTCCAGCTCTAGTAACATTATATACATTTTAAATATCGAAACCCAGAGCCACTGACGTTATTTTGAATAATCCTAATAAAATTAATCGTTGAAATTACATCAACGAATGAAAAATTAATCTCGAACTAATAACTTATACAAGAAAATAAAAATAAATAAATAGGAGATAAAAAAAATCTCAAGAAAAGTTTATACACATTTAACATTAAAAAAAGTAAACAACTATATAGAATTCTATAAATTTTATTTTTTTAAATCTTTCCTACCACGAATGGTAATTGTAAAATTAGCTTTAATACTGGGTCCTATTCCGTTATCAGCGACACATTCATAAAGCCCAGCATCAGCATATGAGATAGCAGGAATTCTTAATGTGCCATTGCTTTCTTCTTTCCAGTTTAAGGACTTATATTCTGTAAAATTTGTATCTGTAGGGAAAAAAAGACAAAATTTAGCAACAAAATAGTAATTTTTTCGATGGAGGTTTACATAAAATCTAATTCCCCCCCACTTTACAGTTTACATTGTCTATATTAGTTTATATCTCTATCATACATGATGTATAACCTTCAATCATACATGATGTATACCTTCACACACACAAAAGAAAACCGTCATTTTTGAAGCAAAATCTTGTATAGTATTAGAACCACTTCCTTTTTTTTACTAAAAAGATATACTTTTTAATTTCTAAAATAAACATGTTATTTAAAATTTATTCACCTAATAATTTATTCCATTTTATTTTGGGAACAGGCGATCCAGTTGCTAGGCACTTGACTGTAATTGCATTTCCTAGAGTAGTAACTGAGCTATTTGGCATTTCAAGCCATTTTGGAGGAGCTAAAAGAGAAGAAAAACAATACATATGAAAATTTCTTTGCAGCAAATAATAAAAGTCTTAATCGTAAGAGCAATGCCCGAAACTTTGGAATTTTAAAACTTAAGATTGCACATTTTTTACAAAAATATGTTTACTCATTAATAAAAGTTTATATTAGGGATTTAAATAAGATTTCATTTTAATTAATAATATCAAACAACAGTTAAATAATATTAAATCTGGTAGCTGAAAATTTAATAAAATTCAACGTAAGTGATACTGTTTTTATTGTGCTCATTGTATTATTAAAACTTTATCACTACGTTAGCAGAAATTATGTGATCATCAAATGTTAAATAGAAATAAAAGTGAATGTTTTCAAAAATAGTAATTTATTCCTTTTGACTCGATCTTGACCACGCATGTAAAAACTGATTCTGCCTGATTCTTCCCAGCTTGCTATGACATATGTCCCAGAATTACGAATTTAATAACCTATAACCAAGGTAACCAACTAGATCTACAACTTACTACAAAGCACTAATTAGAGTCAACAAAAGAATGATTCATAATTTCTTCGAAATATCAAAACTTTATAGAAAGAAAAAGCTAACAAATACAGGAAAAAAGTGAATAGCCCTATACGTAGAATCGCTCTAAGTTTGTATTAATAGACATAAAGTTGATATAAAATGTTATTCTGTTACTATTTTATGCAGTCTGCTGGCTTACCACAATTCATGCCATTTGACATGAAGTAACCTATTTAATTTCACGTTCTTATTTTTGATGATAGAGGGTTATTACGGTGTTCCACTATTTTAAGATAAGCGTATTTATTACACCAAAATTTGACGCTAACTCAATTTCCATACATTCGGTTCATACGTTAATGACTGGAATCCTGGTAAGAATTATGTTAAATTTGATAGCAACAATATACAAGCCATCTATCCTCTAGCAAATATAAAATTTAAATTCGTGCTTTTAAATAAAATCTAGAATGATCCTTTTACAGATGAAATTATAACCTCTAATAGGTGAACATTACATATTGATTATTTTCATTCCTGTTACTTCAGTTAGGTAGTTGTTCAGACGGATTCCCGTATTTCTTTTGAAGGTCTTGGTAATGCTTTTTCTCAAAACAAAGTAAACACTATTTTCTGGAGAAATTTCACAAACTTTGAAATTTTTAAAAATGTCTGCAAACCATTTGTAAAAATTTCGCAATTTTCTTTTATAAATAAGCATGTTAGCAACACAGAGAATCAGCATCAAACTTAGACAACAAGTAAATAATTATTCTCTTGCCAAGTTTTGCAAAGTTCATAATGTTGAATTTGTTTGCATGGTATTAAGAAACTTTTCGATTAATTTTACTGACAGCGTAAATATTTACGAAAGTTGCGAACTAGGCACATTATTGAAATTATTAAAATAAGAATCATCATACATACAATTTCTGAGTAGCTTAATTGATTACCTTGATAAACATCAATCAACCTAAAGTTCTCATGGCTAGTCCATTAGCAACAGTTCTGAGCATAGGCACTTAATATGCGTGGAAATACATAATTTCAATACAGGATTTTTAATTACAATCAAAGACATAATTAATAAAGTTATTTACTGAATTTCAGATGATTTAATTAAGGATAATATCAACACTATTATCATGAATAAATTTTTAATCTTTAAAAGACAAGACAATAGATACTTGAGTGGTTTTTAACTCTTCGAGAAATAAAATAAACCCTATATACTAACCTATTTGTTTGACTTTGGAAAGCTTGTTAGGCATATCTTTTTCAGGGTAAGGATGCATTCGCAGCGAACTTAGAGGGGGTGAAGCTGACTCACATTAATGTGGACAGAGTCAAATCCATATAAATTTCATAGAAGCAGTTTTTGAAATCACCGAAAATACAACTTATATGAATTACTAATGTACAATATTTAGTCATTTGGCCACCTAGTCAGTCTGCTTAACCAGTTAAGTCTGCTTAAAGGGACCTAAGATATACCAGTCCAGACAGTTTCACTAAAACTTATGTTACTACATTAGCAAAGAAATCTGAACTACAAAGAAGAAAATGTTTAAGTACACAAAATTTGGAACTTTTTCTCTTGAAAGTGTTGAAATAATTCTTAGAACAAAATGCCAGAAAGATAAGCTTATATTTATTTAATAAAGCATTTAAAGTTCATTATCAATAATATTTTTAACGAAGAAACTGAAACAGTGTTAACGGAAGCTAAAACTGAATACCCTCATTCCTCAGGAATTGGAAATTAACCAGATTTCATTAGTTGATAGATTTTTCCTAGTTATGTTTAAGCATATTATGCAGTTTATGAGTCAATAACCTTATCGCATTATTTTCTAAGAGAAATGAAGGTAGCGCTTTTAATTTAAAGATGGGAGCATTAAATACACTTAACATTTTAAATTAAAACTAACCCTCATTTAAAATATTAAATGAATATCGATTTTTTTATGTAACAACAAAGTAGTAACTGGAGTAGCAGCATTGTAATTAGAATTTAAAATGAAAATGATCTACGCTAATGCAGAATATGTATCTTAAATTATATTTTTATCATAATTTGACAAGGAATAAAGTAAAGGCATGAAGTAATCTAGGAACACTTAAACAATGTCATTTTCTTAATTTTGTTATTACTGAATTGTTTCCTGCATGTTTATTAATTCTGATGACCGGCTAAAATAAAATAAGAAGCCCTCTAACGGCCAAGCGATGAATACTGGTAGTTCTTGAATTATTTAATCGATATTTTCATGCTGAAATTATATAAAATTATCAGCTTTTGAAACTGAACTCATTAATTGTTGGGTGGATAAAATGGCTGAACACTGATAGTTGCTTGGGCATTTTAGTGGTTGCCTCATGTGTAATATGAATAAAAGCCAATTTCAAAGCGATTCACAAATCTTAAAAGTACTCTACAAAGGCAGATCCTTTAGGCAAACAGCACTTGTGTCCGTAGTAACCCAGTAATAATCAACCAACATTTTAAAACCAAATTTTAGAGAATTTTATTAGTGTAGATTCAGTTACTACTCTAAGAATCATATAATCAAAAGTAAAATTACTTCACCGTTACTCAGACGTTTGAAACATAATTTTTTAAATTTTAAGAAACTAAATTGGTATAATTTTGCATACCTTTAATTTGCAGTTGCGCTGTATGTTTTGTTGTGCCTAAAGGGTTGGTGGCACTGCATGTGTAATTTCCTCCACTTCTCAAGTCAACTTTGTCCAAAATTAAAACAGAATATTCTCCACTATTGTCAATTCTCACATTTTTCTCTGTTTCGTCTACAGGTTTACCGTTTTTTTCCCATTTGAAAGACAGCGGCTTGCTCTGAGAAACAGCAAAACAAATCACTGATACTGAATCACCCTCTTGAACATTATCTTCGAAAGTGAACTTTTTGATATTAGGCAGTTCTGCAAAATAAAGAAAACTGGTAAGCAAGAAAACAGAAAATAGCAATCAGTTTTACAGTAAATTTACATGAATCTGAAAATAACATGTATTGTTTCTGAGAACTTGTTCAAGTATTTGATCTTCTGAGCTAAAATATTGAATAGATTATCTTAGGATTAGTTAACCTAATGTAGCTGATACATTAATTTTCGCATTTCAGTGGTATGATATGATTCCGAGGGATCTAAATAAATTTTAAATAAAGCTTGTGTAGTTTGAAACCTTCAAAATTTTTATTGAAAATACCAGTGTATTTTATCTTAAAGGTACTGATCATTACTATGAATTGATTATGTATTTGTAATGCGTTCGAAAAAAAATTTATTTTTGAATATACAAGATTTAGTTACGAATACACTTTAAGCCATATAAATTAAAGATCTTATCAGTTTCGTGATTTACTTTTATGGGAACAGTATTTTAATTTACTATTTTTTGTACATAATGAGCAAAAGCAGTGCAAAAACATTCGACTTGACATTTCAAAATTTTCATTACAAGAGAAAATACACTTTTTAGTATATTGTTTTGAAGTTTGTGCTATAAAGTTAATAATTTATTCTCAAGAATTTGGATTTGAAAGTTTGATTCTAAAGCACATGGAAAATGTTTAGAATATTTCGGCTCAGCCAACTAGAAAATAATTTTTATTGTTTTATATAATTATCCGGATAAATGACATATATATTCCAGTATATATTACAGTAATATGATATTCCAGTATTAATTTTATAATACTGATACAAAATCAGTTTAAAGTATTTCCTTTCTAATATACTATTTTCACTAAAAGATTTAATTTTTAAAGTATTCAAAAAGAAATCTTAGTTTGGTGTAGATTTTTGAATAAAATTCTGTCAATATCGATGGAGACAGTCGGTTCTTCTTCTTCAAGAATTCGTGGCATTTTGTTTTTGCCTTGAAAAAGAGGAAAGCAGAATCGAGATTTAAAAAAACCTGTCTCATGAAAATATTAAAACGCCAGTTTGTGCCAAATGATATTTTGTTGTCGCATCAGAAATGTGCTTAGGAAACATATTTACTTATCGTTATAAAAAGTACTGAATTATTCTTTATAAAACTGTTTAAGACACTTTGAACTCAACGTTTACCTTGAGTGAGAATCTCTTTAAATACTTATAAAGGCGGATTAGAAAGAAGTGTTAGTTTTAATTAGTAACATGAACTTAAACTGAGGTATGTCTCTAATGTTTATAAAATTATCTTTGAGAAAAATACATAGAGATCATTCTGAAACAAAAAGAAAGCTTAAATTTGTTTCATACAAACGGTACTTAGGTTTTATATACGTTTATTGGATACAATTTTGATTATATTTGGCAAAAGTCTAAAGTGAATCAAAAATCAAGACTTCGAATTTTGTCCTGTTAAAAAAACTAAATCTATGAAAGTTCCTTTCATTGATAAAATTCTTTCGAAAACGTAACTTGTAGGAATAGATATTTCCACTAAATTTGTCCAAACGAATTCATCCTAAAATATCCAACGTTTGAAGTTTAAATAAAAAATTCTTAAGAACATTTACCCATTAGGTAAAAATAGGATGCAGTTTATAGTGACAGTTGATTAATAAACAGATGAAGTTTAAAGCGGTAAACAGTTGAATCTTAAACATTTAAAGCTGTAAACAGTTGAAGAGGTTTTCAGTATTTCCGTCACTAATGCAGCTTAAGCAATTCAATACATACGAGCAGGCATTAAATACAGTGTATTTAAGTATAATAGATTTTTTAGTTTAAAACCTAGGTAATATTCAAGTGTCAAAAGCTAAATTTGGAATCTTTCATCGCACATACTCATAAAACTCATTAAATTATTATAATAGCGTTGCAGTTTGTATTTGAATAAACTAATATTTACTTATTAATTTGAACACATAAGGAAGTCATATCTTAAAAAAATCAAAACCAACAGTATTGAATTTATTATCATATAAAATATTAAATAGCAAAACAAATGACAGCAATAAGTGAATGAGAATAAAGAATGTATCACGTACCTGAGAGATAAACATTCGGCAGAAACAGGAGATACACTGCTACCAGTTCCAAAGCGAGACTTCTAAAGCTCCAAACATTATAACAACAATCGAACATTTCGAGTTTGTGCACAAAGCCCAACTGAAACAAAATGTTATCTGAATATTTGAGAATGTGTGTTCACAGGCAGAAGTTTTACACAGAGCTTGAAGTGTTCTTCTGTTAACATGGCGTTCATAATAAATGCTAGACAGAAATGCTTATAAGACTGGAACTTATAGCGCCACATATTGACAAAATTGGAAACTATTCACGGTTGGAAAAAAATTATATCCTACAGTTAATTTTGAGTAAAATTAAATAGCAAAATTTATTGTTTTGGCTCTATTTGCAATTCGTTAATTTCCAAATGAGGCAAATAATTTCTACAACCTATGCTATGTAAATAATGTTAAATACTACGCTATATGCAAATAATTTCAAACGCATACGAACCTTTTTTGTATAGTTCTACAGAAAGTAATAATTACATACTTACATAATTAAACGGCATTTTATCAAAACAGAAATTTCATGCGAATATGTAAATTACCTTGATATTTCTATCACAGTTCAGCCAAAGAACCATTAAAATGTAAATAATATCATGAAGTCATAACAATATCATGAAAACGGAAACCAGTTTTGAAACCAACTACAATTATCAATTATTGTTAATAAATAATCGAGATTCGTTAAAAATTTCGTAACTTTGCATGATAGTGCAAGAATAATTATATTAGATGAATACAGTGAATGTTATCTGAAGGTATGTCTCTAATGTATGTTCAAGTGAAAAGAAGTTCAAGAAGAAGTGAAAGTTCAAGGTATGTTCAAGTGTAAAGAATATATGCTTTGAAAGCTTTAGAATGAAAAACCGTAGCAACGCATGACAAAAATACAAAACGACGCCAAGGAACTCTATCAGTGCAATGCAACAGATTTTGAGAGGATATGTTAATATTTAGAAAACGAAATGTGCCCCTTTCATGAAAAAACATAAGTTACAAATAAAAATTCATTTTTACGTAAGATTCAAAGTATAAATAGTACCAAACTTCTTCATACGCAATATAATGCCGAATAAATTTTTACCAGTACATTACAAGCAAGAATATGACACACGCACATTTGAGACAACTTATGAGGTTAAATAAAGTAAAGCAATTTTATTAGGAAAAAACAAGATATGTAAGTAACTGAAATACATTTAATGCTGTCCTACCACGAATTTGGATGGAGAAATTAGCTGCAATGCTGGGTGGTATACCGTTATCAGCAATGCATTCGTAAGTACCGGCGTCTTTGTAAGAAACTCTCGATATTTTCAGTAAGCTGTTATTGTGAGAGTTGTATGTACCATTCAGTATGATCGCAGAGTGATGATTCGAATCTAAAAGATATAAAAAATGTAGGATTATATTTTTGAAAAAGAAATCGAATTGGATATTTAACAATGTACATAACAATAAAATGAAATAACTATTTTTATTTAATATAAGTTGCATGACGAGTCATTTGAAATCATACACTCAGTATTTAAGGCCTAAGGTTATTTGAAAAAGATTAAAAAAATAAAGTGAAAAAGTAACTTTGCTTGGTTAGCGATATTAAACTAAATGACGAATACTAGAAAGGTACACTGAAAATTAAAAATAATTTGAGTTTGCAAGAAATCTGGTATTTCTGATAAAAGAAATATAAAATTTTGAGCTAATCTGGAGAAGAATAAATTCAGAGATTTAAGAATTCCAGATATTTTATATTCATTTCAATTTTTCCATAAATGCTGCTGAAAAATTCCTCATTAACATATTTTTCAAGTTTTCAATATGAAGTTCTTTTGATGCAATGGGTAAAACCTCACAAAAAGTATTCATAAATACCATATGCTACAATTTTGTCCCTTCCCTATACGTCAGAAATGCCTCTCTTTTGAGGAAAAGTAACTATTTTCTTGTTACAACACAAAACTTAAGCAACACTTGGAATTTCCAAATTAAAATTTTGACGATTAAATTCTGGGTTTGCCAGTTTTGGCGATTAAGTGTTACTACCCCTTTAATAAGAATGTACATAAAAGTTTATTTACATATTAACCGACACTTGCGATTTTTCCAAGCAAAGATTTGCCAATAATGACATCCTCACATTTCTAGTGGAAATAATGTTGCCAATAAATAATTGATTACTTGAAATTAGGCTAAAAACGCAATCTTACATTGGCTAGATTTTGAATAAATCTTCGCTTAATCCTTTAAAATCTACACTAATTTAAAATTTCGTTGCTTAGTTTCAAGTTTTATGTTGGAGTGTTTGTCTTTCACTTAAAATATCTGAATGAAATTGCTATCATCTGCTAACTATATATTTTTTCCATTTGTTCATCATAGCACTTTTTCGTCCCTGTGGCTTCATGAGTTTACGCAAATTGCCAAGACATGAGAAACAGACATTAACAGTCCTTTTAAAACTTTCTGAATACTGCCAAAGAATTGAGAGTATGCGTAATAATTCTCATACAGTAAAAATATGTTTGTAATTACTGACGGATTGTTAAATATAAGTAAAACGCATAAATGAAAGAAATTATTCTGAAGGAAAAGAATAACATTTGAGATCTGTGTACGATTAATTTAGGGGATAATAACATTTTCACAAATTCAATTCTTTCTTCAGGTGGAAATTGATATTTTAAAGAACATTTTAACATAATTATTGATGAATCTGTTCATCACAGGATGGTAGTTTTCAATACATAATAAATAAAACTGTTTCACTGAGATACAAGGTTTTTAAGGATTAATCCTAGTTTACCATAACAGTGAATATTTGATCATTTCATTGCGGATATTCAACTTTATCAAAAATTTAAGAAGTTACGTATTTCGTTACATACCTAATACACTTTAATAAATAAAATTTTAAGTGGTTTTAGTTTTATGTTATGACTGCAAGATATATTTCTTTTTTCGTTTCTATGTTATGAGTACATGATAGACCTGTAAATATTGTTGTCGTTTAAAACAGGCTTTGAATCTGTATAAAATTTACAAAATATAACTTAGTAGCAATCAGTGAATCTGAAACTAAAATTGTAAAACATATACACTGAAAATATTTTTTAAATAAAAAGTCAGCAGAATACAATCCCAGACATAGGAATAATGAATAAAGTTTAAAAAATGATAGTTTAAAAATGAAGTAGATAATAGATATTTTCATTGCCTTTCTATTCATATTACTTCTGATAAAACATATCTTTTCATTTGCTAATTATGTTAGAAAGCCCAACTTTTCGTTCTATTTCGTATTTCCCTTTCCTTTGAGAAACTTACAATAATAAATTCATTCACATTTAAGTATTCCATTACAAGTCTATCATTTAGGTTTATGCACATTAAAATATCATCAGTTATGCGTTATATCTAATACATGAGTTTAAATATGTATTATTATACAAATTTTGCTTTATGTACAATTTGAGGCAATTTACGATAAATCCAAACTAATATGCTTTTTTTTTGTTATAAATATTGTTTAACAAGTTTAATGACAAAAATCTTGCATGTTACTAGTGTGTCCACAAATTTTATTAAAATATCAAAATGATAAATTTTAATAATATATTTTTAAAGTCCTGAAATAATTTTTATTCAATAAAATACTTACCACTAAGTTTCCGCCAAATGATTTTAGGCTTTGGTGATCCGGTTGCGATGCAAAACACATTTACTGTATCTCCAATAACTGTAACTTCATTTTTAGGATCAGTCAGCCATCTTGGAGAAGCTAAAAAATAGAAACCGTCTTTATTGTTTCTGAGTCCCATATTTTAAAAATAAAGTAATTGACTGTACCATATGTATTTTGATATAACTAAAAGAAAAGGGAATATTTAAAAAGAAAAATTAGATTAATTTTTCAACTCAAGTATTTTTATTTATTTTAACTCCAAGTTGTGCATTTACATGCAAAATATGGATGATTTTCCTTAACTCACACACATTAATTCACGATGCTTCTATTACGTTATAGTGCTAACGTTTCTAAAAAACTGCAGGCAAACTGCCGAACGGTAATAAAGGCGATGATTACCAACACATCTCAACTTACTTTCGATAAAATATTTTTATTTATAGCAGGAAATCTAAATGGAATTTTTTAATTAGTTTTTATGCAATGGTTGTTTACTGCCTTGTGTTCTAAAGAATGAAAAATTATAATTTTCTTTTATAGTCAAATATTTATTAGCAGTTTATTCTAAATAAACATTTAAATATTCCTAATCATGCTCGCGGTGGATAGATTAGACATCTACGGGTTATTTTTTGTTAACAGGAGTAAAATCTCGCTAATAAAGTTCGTTCATTTCAGAAATTGAAGAAAGTCTGACGAGTAAATGAGACTTGTCTATCTGTGTCTTTAAAACTGGAACATCAAGGTTATTTTCCACCTCCCAACTGGATTCCTAACTATGGAAACGACAGCTGCGGAGAAAACGTTAACTAGCTTAATTCCCCTTACCCACAATCCGTTTCTGTTTAGCGGTTTTCGCTTAATGAAATAGCACGCAAATGAAGATTGACTTGAACTACAGTCTCAAATGACTTGGCGAATATGCAATGTGATGATGAAGACAGGAGGTAGGATCTCAAATGAGGGAAGCAACGGTCTTCATATGCCTATTTTAAAATAACACACTATAGAAGATGACTTCTACAAATATATAAAAAAATTCTATGAATGTAATTAGAAATGCATAATATTGGAAGGAGTATGTCGAAGGCTGATTGTGTTGGTGTTGGTGTATTTAACTATGGCAAAGCACACTAGGGCTATCTGCCTATGGGGAGGGATGCCTTCGTGGATTTCGGGAAGATGAATATTTTAAATAGGCGTAGTGCCAAGCACATTATTAAAATATTCATAAATAGTTTTACTAACAAATTACTGTACTCCAAAAATTTTGAAAAAACAACTTACCTTTGACTTTTAAAGCAGAAGAATGACGATCCGCTCCAAAACTATTTCTTGCTGTACAAGTGTAATTGCCGTCATTTTCTGATGATACAGCATTCAATATAAGAACAGAAACCACCGGACTATTCTCTATGTTAATAGCTTTATTGGATGACTGCAATTCTTCATTATCTTTGCTCCATGAGAATGTAATAGGTTGGGCTCCTGATATTAAAAGGCAAGTAACAGAGACAATATCACCTTCCTTAACATTATTTTCAAATGAGAAACTCTTGATAACAGGCGCATCTGTGAAATATAAAATGCATTAAGTATCTTCGTTCATTTAATTACAAATTAAATAGATTTAACCTAGCAAAATAATAAATGTTTTTAAATATCAATGCACTATGGAAAGAAATGCATTTATACGTACATTGCATTATCTGTTTCCATGATTTATAATACATGTTATTTGAAGTGCATCCTTTAACGAAACATGTAAAATTCAATAATTTCTTCACAGAAATTCAGTCATATTTTTTCATGTATTTAATTCGTGAGCATGTTTTCTAGTCATAGAAACAGCTATAGTCCATTGACCGAGAATATGTAATACAAGTGTAGATGTAATACAAGATATCCTAAATCCAAAATTTTTAAACCTTTAATAAATATTTCATTATTAGTTCAAAACTCTCGCGCTTACAAAGTCAAATAATATTGAAGATCATTGAAATAAATCATTACCTAAAGTTAATGCATACCTTAATATTTTATATTTGAAGAAAGAAAAAAATAATCTTAATGAAAAGAATAATCTTAATGAAATAAAAGAATGGCTCACCTTTGCAAGTATAAAGTGGGAGACATGGTAGCAAGACGACGAGAATCTCAAGAATGTGTTTGAGAAGGCTTTGTCCTCCGCAGTTCATGTGTCTTTGATAACCCATTTTCAAGAAAAAATGGGCAAAATAATAAAGGCATACGTATCAAATTTTTGCAACATATCAAAAATATTTTGTGTCCATGACAAGTAACTAACGAGTTTCTGAAGAGCATCCCCTGTAATATGGCGTTCAAGGCAATTGAATACAAAATCGTCAAGTTACTAACAGATATGCAGCGCCACACTTTGAGAGTTTATGAAACTAAATAACCTAAAACATTTTACTAAAAACATATTGCATTATTTTGTTACATTTTTTATATAAATGTGTCATTACAAATTTTAAAATAATCACAAAAATACTGACATTTATTTTTCACAACTTTAAAATAAAAGTTCAATTTTTAATAATCCGAATTAATTTTTCTAAAAGAAGTGAATATAAGCGAGGAAAGCCCA